ATATATGTGTATATATATAATATTATGTGTATATATATAATATTATGTGTATATATATATATATATATATATATATATATATATATATATATATATATATATACACATACAGTCTTTTAAAGTTATTTACTTGTTATACAACAAAATGTATGTAAAGTTCAATAAATACGGCTGCGTATAAACTTTTTTGAAAAAAAAAATTTTTTTTTTTTTTTTTAAATTTTAATATACGAGGGGCTCAGTGGAAAGGTGATCTAACCCACATTTTTGAAATTTTCCGGATAATTACTGCCAACAATACAAAAAAAAAAAAAAAGTGCAAAACCTAAAAACCTTAAACCTTTAGAGTGCTGCTAACTATAATCATATTTACTTTAATAGAAAAATAAAATTTGAATTGTGAAAAAGTTGCCTATCCCACAATCAACATGGCAAAATGAACAGCTCAGATTTAAAAGCTTTTTTAATGAAAAGTGATTGTGTTGATTCAGATGCAGATCACAAACTTTCTTTTGTTGATAATGTTAGCGAAGGTATGTATCTAATTAATGCAGCATCGAGATTTTTATTAAGTTTATCATACAATAATATAAATGACCATGTTTTTCTCTTCTAGTTTTTTCAAAACTGACATGCACTTTTTTATTTTAGATTTAAGTATGTTGAATATGTTGAAGAAATTGCAAGACCTGTATATATATTAGCAGGAGTCGATGGTACATATTATGACCTATTGTTATTTTATTATTTACATTAGTGTTAGGCCTAACATAAGACTAGCTAGGGACAATTAGTTTGTTGTGTTAAGACTTAGTTTTTTTATTAGAAAATATTGTCCAACAAGGTTAACATTTTCATTGCAGATTCAAATGATAACCTTGTTGGAGAATAGGGGATGAGGACAAGAGTTTCTCCCGAGAAGTAAATTTTTTCTAACTTTAACTAACAACCCCCTCCCCCCATGAGATAACTCTTCGGGAGATGACAAATGATGACCAATTTCTCTGTACAAAATTAATGGAGAGTGGGATAACTAAAAAAAAAATATTAATAAATGAAGCAAATACATTTAAAAAGTGACACATTTATGTTGCTGGACGTAACAATGCAAAATCGTGGCTATCTGGCACTATCAATGTTGAATTTAAGCCCTTGTACCTCAATGGAAGAAAACTTACAAAAGAAAAATTAAGTGATCTTTTTGAGCTAATATAATTCATACCGCCTGTCCATTATCCCTATTATCTTACTCTTAAAGGTGACGAGGAGGCAAATGATTTGGGTTTAACTGATGCGACGAAGACATAAATTAGTGCATCTTACATATATAAAAGAATCATTAACAAGTCATAGACAAAACATCCGTTAGGCCTAACCAACTCTATTAACAGTATTTTCAAAAATTTGAAAAGACAAATTTGCCTAACCTTTTTGTTATTACAGAACACATTAATATAGTATTCTAATTTTTTTTGTAAATATACCAGTGTATTTTTTCACCTTTCCTTATAATAAATACTATCCTTCTAATAATTATACTTTTTCTTGTTATTTTTAAAAAGATCCTCAAAGTCTTTTCCAGTTTATTAAAAATGAAGTAATGGCTTAGATCACTTTTACGCTGAACCCTTCGTATATGGTGTGGCCGTGGCGCAGTGGTTAGAGCGTTAACTTTATAAACAGGAAATCCAAGTTCGAAACGAGCTCTCGTGTTTTTTTATAGCGTTTTTTTTTTTAACGTTTTGTATTTATTGTAACGATTTTCTTTGTAACAATTTTTATCGACATATTGGAATATCAATACTAGATTTACGTTTGCGTGCATACAATACATGGATGGAATTTCTTCCAGATTCATGCTTTTGTTTAGACTAGTCTAGACGAAATAGCTAAAGTACCACTAGGATTAGCAGTTACAACAAAACAATCACCAATTTTGATGCATCTTGATTATCAAGTACGTTTGCTGGATTATGATTTTTTAGTGGTTTCCAGACATAAGCTTATACCGTCTGTTAATGTAGCTTATATTATTGATCCAAACAAATTTGCTGACGCAGTATCATATTCTGGGCCATTGAATATTGCTATTAGATCTATGAAGCATGATAGCAGCACTGCTTTTATTCATGGCCTTGATTTGGAACGTCTTGTTTCAATTAAAAATATTAAGCTTCACAATTGTACTCCAGAAGGTCAGGTAAAACCTGTATTTGTTGTTGCATGTGATGGCCCTGATAAAAATCCAAGGTTTCCCAAACTATTGCAGGATTTGTTTTGCCACATGACCATTTCGGATTCATCTAAATGCATCTAGAAAAATTAATTGAAATTTAGAAAAATTGACTTTTAGAAAAATTAATTGAAATTTAGAAAAATAAAATTTGCTAAAGCTGCAGAAACTCTAGCTGAGGTATGGTCGGTCTGAAATATATGTTCAAAAATTTCAATGGAAGCTTCCTTTGATTTTTACTGCTTATCAATTTAACCACAAAAAATTAATCAAAGAATTTGCAAAACCTGCAAAATTAATCACGCTTCTAAAGCAAGTGTTAGGCGTCACAAACGCATGTTTGGAAACATAATCAACGCTACATCTGAGGAGAATTAAAACAATGATGAAAACAATGATACTCATCATTTAACAGTAAATAAAAGTAATTCTGATCGAATTTATGTCATTGAAAATATATTTTATTGGGTGAAATCACCGTTTGATTTAGATCACAAACAATTTAAATTCATGATTATATAGTCTTCAGGCTATAATATATTAATTATTTTATTAATTATTTTGTCTATAAAATATTAAAACGATGTTTTAAACCTTATAACGATAACAGTTTTTTTTAATTTCTGATTAGTTAAACTTTTTTTTACACCATGTCCTTAACCACAATCTATACTTTAAAGGTACTAAACATTCTCGCCAGTTAGTTGATTTTAGAAGTTTTCCTGTTTGACAGCAAAAGCACATAAAGATCAACTATACAAATCTTTCAACAAGTCATTTTTATTTTATTTTTTGCAAATGATCTTTTAAATGATTACAAAACAATACACTTCACTGTCACCTTGAGGTTCTGAGTTGAAAATTTTCAAACACTAAATTGATTGCTAAACAAATTTTTTACGTGAAATATTTTTTAAAAATTTATCATCTCCAGTTTTCTCAAGCTTCTTAATTTATTATATTTATTTAAAAAAATACTCCGCTTATATTCGAGATCATATGGGTCGATGATGTAATTTTGTTCCGTGACATTTTTTAAATTCAAAAAATAATAACTATATTCTCATACACAAAAAATTCTTGTATTTATATAAGATTGACCACAAACGTATTTTCCTCGAGGTAATTATTCTTCTACTTTAATTGCGATACAATAACATAGGTGAAGGGTATGTAAAAAACTGTGACATTAAAAATTTGAAAGCAAATCTCCAGGCTGGAATTAGTCAAAACAATTGTTTTGATTACTTCCAGTTCGGAGGAGAAGAGGGGGTCTGCAAATGGCGTATATAAACGAGAGGGTAGGGCGTCAATTGTAAAGTAAGAAGACACTAATTAAAAAAATATATCATAAAATGTTTGGTAGCGTACGTACTTTATGGACGACCCCTTTTAACTATTGTAAGCAAATCCAAAAATTTTGCGTTATCATTAAAACTTCCCCTATTCCTAAATAACTAATAAACGTAACCAAGCATGTGAGACGTTTACATTTATAAAACGCTTCAAATAATTACTATGAGGTGCCAAATAAACGTGCCTGCCCGTTTATTTGGAATCACACAACTTTTTTACTAAGCCCATTAAAACCTGTTACGTTTTTGTTGTTAAACTTCTTTTACTAATTTTTAGGTTCCTTTAGCAAAAAGAAATTTCAAGTTTCCAAAAAAAAAATGTAATTAAATCTTTTTTTAAGGGCAAGTATACTTCCCTCCCTCTCCAAATGATTACTTCCCTCCCTTCCCAAATATCATTTATGGTTTTATTTAAAAAAAAAAAATTATTTATTATTACATTCAAAAAAGTTATTTAAAAGCATTTAATTATTTTTAAGTATTTGTTGTGATAAATTATAAAAACAATTTTTATAAAAATTGTTTTTATAATTTATCACAACAAATACTTAAAATTATAGCTCCTCCCCCTTTGCTTTTTGCAAACCCCCCACCCCATATGAGCGTACGTACATTATGGAGAACCCCTTATAACTATAAATAGAAAAGGTTAGGAGAATAATCAGAGTCAGTCGTCTATACAGTTCACACCTGTACAAAAAAAAAAAGGCAAAACATAAGAAATATAACAAAATCTAATGCTATTAAAAACTGCATGATCTAAAATACTATAAGAGTTTATATCGTAGATGAATTTAGAGTAGAATAAAAACTACACGATTTTAGCTTCTTTAGGAGTTTTGCAGATCTGATAGGATTCTTAAAATTCATTATAGGAATACAGTATAATCCTACAGCAAGTAGGATTATACTAGATTCTGGATTAACTGTATAGAGGACTGATAACGATATTAATAAAGTATCAGTTGTTAACTGATACTTTACTAATATCGTTTGTTAAGTTTTTTAAACTCTAAATTTATCTAGTTTCAAAATGACGTGTATTCATAAGTGTCGTTTTATGACGTGAATTCATAAGTGTCGTCGTTGTATGACGTGAATTTATAAGTGTCCTCTCATTATGATAACAATCTTATTTGAGACGAACTACTTTATCTAAAAGATCATTAATGTAAATTATAACATTCACAAAAAAAATCAGATCCCCTGCAAGGTTACAAGCTATTTTGCCATTACTTGCCTTGCAAGTTACAAGCTATTTTGCCAGTGGCATTTGCAACGAATCCTGGTCCCCACCAAATTTTAACACCGAATTCTGAATTTATTGACACAATGTTTTTATAAAAATGATTTTAATTCGCTTTCAAATTAATGTCATGTTTAATTAATTTCAAGTTTTGAAGAAATCTGATAAATATCAGATTTATGAAATTTTCATAAAACAAAAAGACCATATGAGAAAAAAGTTTATTTACAAATAGTGGTTCTAAACATTAAAAAAAAATTCGTGAAAAGATACAAAACAAATATTAAATTAATCGAACTTCAAGAAGCGGTTCGAAATAAAAAGTTTTGCTTAATACAACCAGCCAGTTCTGTAAAATACAATTGATGCACGTTGTAACTTAATGCGCACATTATACCTTATTGCCTTTTTTGACTTTTTATTGAATGATTATGTCACTTCGTGAAACCAAGCAACAATGTTGGTATTAGTCAGCAAGTATCCTTACAGACTAATTTCTGACTGATTACTACACGCGAAGTGTAAAAATAGTTTATTTTTAAACCGGGACAGGTTTGTCTTTGTCTTTAATACTTTTACTAGACTTTCGGGACAACCAAGCGCGAGAATCACTTAAATGTTTGTTAATTGTTTCCATCCAAACAACGCGGTCATCTTTATTATCAGCTGATATCCAATACCTTTTTAAAAGTATTCAAAATAATAATTTAAAAGTTTGACTTGAATGTTTTGTTTTTTTCATTCAAAAAAAAATTTTAATTTAATTTAATTTTTGATTTAATTTTAAACAATCAAAATAAAAAGTTAGAAAATAGAGTAATAGAAGGGTAGCTTTATTTACATTGTAAAGCGCGTGCGCAAAAAACGGCAGGCAAAACAATTAAGCTAAAGCAAATAAAAACAAGCAAAATTAAATACAACAACATCTGTTAGTTCTTATACATGTTATATAAATTTAAAGAAGGAAGATAAAAGAAATTACATAAGGAAGTTTTTATTATTAGAATTGTTTTATTTTTTGAAAAACTACTCTTTTTCAAATCAATACTTTTACAAATACATGTTAACTTTATTTTATGTGTTACAGCAAGTAAACAAATGTAAATTGATTTATTGTGAGAATAAAAGTTTTGTTATTTCTTATTAAAACTGGGTTCTGTTTGATGTCATAAAGTAGCAGTTCAAACAACAATATATATATATATATATATATATATATATATATATATATATATATATATATATATATATATATATATATATATATATATATATATATACATACACATATACATATCCTGCAGTTTAATGTGAAATTTTTTATCGGGCATGATTTGAAATAAGGAGTGAAATGTACTTATATTTAGTGAAAACAGCAGCACTGTTTTAGAAATACACAAGATTTTAAACATAACATGTTTTGCTGGGTTTTTTTTGCGCATATGCTTTAAAATGTGAAAAAAGCAATTTGTCTATATAAGAATTCTCTAACCACTCTTAGCTCTGTATTAAACATTAAAACATATTTAACTTACTTTGTATACACATTTTTTCCACAAATAGATATAATTAAATTTGGTTCATCACCACTTTGAAGAGAGCGCTTTAACTCTAATTCAAATGTCTGTGGGCGAGCACATTTATCTCGTGAAAGTAAACCAATAGATTTTGATATACAATAACGCAGGTCAATACTTCCAATAGGTTCCTTGATAATAAAGTTTATATAACTTATTTTATATAGTTAAAACAAACAATAAAAATTAAACTTATATTAAAATAAAAGATTGTTAGTAAAACTTTCAGTAAACATAATAAATTTATAGTGATAATTTCTCTTGTATAAAAGTAAACTTATAATAATGGAGATCTTTCTTGTATAAAAATATATTTGACCTTAGATTCCTGGTCATCAGGATATTTCCAGTAACATATCTTGCTGTCTTTTAAACTGCACCATCTACGATTCCATGCTGTGTAACCACCAACATCCTCTAAAATGGTCTAAAGAAAAAAATATCAGCAATAGTTAACAACATAATTATTTAAATGTATGTATGCATGTATGTAATTATTTGTCAGTCAATGTAGCAGCACTTTTCGCATGTGTCAGTTAACGTAGCATGTTCTACCTATTTGTCAGTTAAAAGTGATGTTTTTGTGGTTTTTTAAAAACAATAAAATTCACTTAGTTTCCTCAATTAAGTTAAATGGCTTTTACATTAAATGCACTTGATTTTGTCAAAGACAAAGAGCTATTTTTTACCACAAATGATAAGTTTAGATGTCAATATATATATATATATATATATATATATATATATATATATATATATATATATATATATATATATATATATATATATATATATATATATATATATATATATATATATACACACAGAAGAAAAAAGAATTATAATTTAAAAAATCGTGTTGAATTCCCTTTTTATTCCCTTTTTGTTATAAGTTAAAAATGTCATTTTCCATTTACTAAAATAATTTATTTATAAAATGAACCATATTTTTGAAATTTTTATATAATTTTGAATCCAGTATTATTTTGTTATATACACATTTATTATAAGAACAAAACTCACAAGAAAACCTGTAGCTTTGGCAGTAAATTCTGGTTTACATCCTATTCTCATATTGAGTGTACCTTCAAGTGGACAATTACTTGGAACCTAAAAAATTAAAAAATTTAATTTAATTAAAAAATTTAATCATATATGCTTTTAAAAAATACTTTTTATTTTAAAAGCTTATAAAAAACAACCTTTAATAGTAAATATTTTCCACCATTTCCAAGCATTTCTAGACTTATTTTGGTCTCCCCAACTAGTTTAAAATTACTTGTCCTAAATACTGTTTGCGGTGAAGCATAATCTATGTAAAAAAATATTTTTACAGTTTATAAACGTTTAAAGTTCAGAATTATTTTCAAAAATGAGCAGACAAAATAATTGAACATGTAAATCTGAATGGCTTTGTGAAACGTGGCTGAAAAAGAAATGCCTTACATACATATAGCATGTTAAAACTTAAAAAATGACTGTGTAAAAGAAAATATTTATTTTTGAATACGTGTGTGTGTATGTCTGTAAGTGTGTGTGTGTGAGTGTAAGTGTATGTGTGTGTATGTGAGAGAAAGAGAGTATATAAACATATGATAATTAAAATTGTCATAATAGTAAAAAAAAGTTTGATTAAAAAGATTTTCATCAAAATTACATTATTGTAAAATAAAACCAAAACTTTACATGTAAATATTAAATAAGATAAATAAATACTTGAATATTCTTCTTCTTTACTTTTCTAAATTGTAGTAAACATAAGTATTAAATTTCAATCAATATTATTATGATCAAATAATTAACAATTTTATTAAAGAAAAATATTTCTATAAACTTAATGATTATTGTATTAAATATGTGATATGTAACAAATAATAGAACATAAAACCATACAAAATAGAAATCAGAAAAACTTACTTTCCCAAATAAACTTTTTAAATTTCCTGGTGAAGATTGATTTGATGACTAAAAGTTACCAATAGAGTTTTAAAACTTTGATTTACAATAAACATATTTATTTGAGATTTTAAAATGACATTTGCAAATAAAGATATGATAGAAAAAAAAAATAATAATAAAAAAAATACTATACATGTAATTTTTTGACTTTGGTGGTTGGATCACTATTTTTCTTAATGTGCTAAAAATTATTTTTTTTTAAATACATATTTAACACAAAATTATTAAAACTTATTAAAAAAAAAATCATATATAACTTACCAATCCAAAAACACGGACCATTATTGTAAAATTGTGTGGCACATTTGTTCTATAATAAAAAGAAAAAAACTTAAATTTAAAGAACATGAAACTAGCAAAATTTGATTAGTTAAGATTCTTACAAAAGTATATTGCTATTTAAAAGAAGTGCAGATCCTTCAGTTGCATCAAAACAGGACACAACTTTTGTAGAAAAAACATTACGACTTCCGCATGATGCTATTACCACAAAGTGAAAGGTTCCAAGATCTAAAATAATAATTTAACAGTTGCTGATATTAAAATTCTAAAATATATTAAGACCACAATATTTAAAGACAATACAACAAATTCATTTCTAATAAAAATCTCCAAATAATCCAAATAATGACCATTAAAACTTTACCCATTTTTCCATTTCTTAAAGCAGCAAGGAAATCAGGATGAAGAGGTAACTTTATATCTTTAGGACATAAAATAAATAATGTTATCCATAATACTTTTAATTTTATTACTAAGGAAAAGAAATACATTAATTTTATAATTCACATACCAGTTAAAGCAACTGATGCATTGCATGGTAAATTTTTGGCATGTGAAGTTTCAGTGTCTTCAGGAACTTCTTTTAATTGACGCACTTCTTCAAGGCATGCAGTTCTTTTTTCAGCTAAACAATTTAATTTTAATTAAGATAACTTTAAAAGAAAAGGAAAAAAAAACTTATATATAAAAAAACTGACTTGCTAGTAAAAGAAGTCTTTCTCCTTCAATAACCTCAGGAGAAGCCCGTTTGTCTTCATTACTACTTTCAGCTACATTCAAAGCTTGTGATGTTTGTAAGACTATATTTTGTTGGTAAGCTGCCTCCTCAAGAAGACTCTACATAATATGGAATAAATGTTGAACATAAAACAATATTACATATTGTTAATATTGAATAAATGATAGAAATACTTCAGCTTAACTATGATACAACAAATTTGGTAAAAAAAAACAACTTATAATTACCAAAGCATTTTTATAAGGAAAACCAAAGTCTAACATTTTTTATTTTTATTTTTTAAATATAAAAATAGTATTTGATTAGAGTTTTTAAAAAACTATTGTTTAGGAGTTCATTTAAAAAATATTAACTGAACAAAAAAAAAAAATCATAATAATATAGACAAATCAAATGTTGATATTGTAAATATAAACAAATTTTTTTTTTATAAAAAATTGTGTAACAGGAAATTATGTCATCAAAGTTATGACATCAACAATATACACGTATATAACATATAGTGAGTAATATTTACATTAGTTTTAGACTCAAAACAGTTATCTTGTTACAATTTTTTTTTTTAATCTCGCTATTATGTTTGTAAATAAACATACTGTTTCAAAATTTTATTTCATTAAAAATTTAGTGCTTTATTATAAGAATAATTAAAAGCTTTATGGAAATTTTTTTTTAAAATACTGTAACTTCATTTTTTAAGACCTAAACTTTTGTTTACCTTAATGTTTTATTGAGTAAACAATATGTTTTAATAGTTAAACAAGTTTTAATACCCAAACTCAAATTTTTATAACGTAAATTTAATGTATTAATACCTGTATCTTATCTTTTTTAGAGAATTCTTTATCAGGCTTGTCAAAAGATGACAATGCATTAAACTTAGAACTCTCTTGTTTGTTGTAACCTGACTGTTTTGTAGGAGACATCATGTAACCTGGCTGCTTTGTAGGAGACATCTGACAGTTAGAAAAACTTGCAGATCGCCTTATCTTCTTAGCATTGTGCTTTGAATGTTTTGGTATGTTTTCATCATTTTCTTTGTCATGCTCATTTAACTAACATAAAAAAATTATAATCAAATTTTTACCATGTTTATTCAAATCTGAGAAAGTAAATTAGAACAAAAAAATTTTAACTAGCAAGTGAAAAAAAATAAAGGAATGTTTGTGTATTGTAAGACACAGATTTGTTATAAATGTACTTAAGACAGTTTGACCTATGCTACAAAAAATAATAAAACAAGTTATTTGTTATGATATTAAAAAAGCTTATTATTTAAATGTCATCAATATTTTCTATGGAGTCTATTACAAAAATCACAAGTAACTTTTTTAGTAATTTAATGAAAAATTAAATTTATCTGTTAAAACCTATAGGATTTGTAAAAAAACTTGTGTAGACTTTGGGAAATAAGAACCATAGGTGCCTTTTACTAGAAGAGGTTATCTGAATTAATAATATTTGCATTGTATTATATTGCGTGGAACTGTGTGCAAAATTTACTTTTAAAATACCTCTCTAATCATTATATCCATTACTGGCTAATTATGTTTTTCAAAAAGTATTTGAAAAAATTAAATTATTATAAAACATTAGACAAAAACATTTGTAGAGAAAACAAAGAGTTTTATAATGAATTGAAAATTTTTGTATTTAGAAATATAAAAAGTTTTTGTTTACATAGGATTGATAAGACAGCTTTCAATTTAAAACACTGCTGGTTCAAAATATTTTTAAATGAAAACTATGAGTTGGCTTTGACCACTAGTAAGAAAATATTAAACAAATTTTTATGTAAGAGTTTGTTTTATTAAGTATGAAATCTTATAAAATAAAAGGTAAACAAAACTTGAAACATGTTAATAACCAATATAAATTAAATGTCAACCAAATAAACAATACAATATTTTTTTCTTAATTTTACTTTAAAGCTATTACAAAAAAGACTTTTATTATTAGATAATATAAAACATTTTTAGCACTAGAGACCTTATAATCATCAGTTTGTGCTATTTTTGTTATCATAATAAAAATTTTATTAAAAAAAAAACTAAACAGGAAATAAACATTAATATTGTAACCAATAGTAACTATTGTTATTGATATGTTATGATATTAATAGGAAATGTCAATTAAAAGCGTCATGTATTTGGCTGTAGAGATGTTTTTTCATAGAATATTAAATTTCTATCATTTTCAAGTTCCACAAAACCAAAAGTTAGAAAAAAGGTTTTATAATGTTATAGTATATAATGTGCACGTCGGCAATTGTATTAATGGTTGACACGTTGACAATTGTATATATCAAATCTATCTGTTGATTGTTCATTTTTACAATTAGAAACTGTCTGTTTGTGCAAAGTCTATTATTTTTTTTATATTATTATTTTTTCTAATGTATGCAGTTTTCTGTTTGTATGATTAACGTTTTAAATAGAACATTCTTATTGACATTTTATGTTCCATGTTGTAAATGTTTTAACTTTTGTGTGACGTTTGATATTTGATATAACTTTTTTATTTTAATGTAACTTAACTATTTTGTGACGATTGTCTTTACATTTAGATAATCTTATTTCTTTATTGGTAAAACTGAATTTTTAAACTTTGAAATGCATTTTCTCATTAACCTAACTTTATTAACTAACAAAATTTTCAGGATTTGTAAATGAGTAAATAAATGAGTAACCTCCTCAGTTAAAGTGGCCCCTGTGAAGTCTTGGAACAGTGAATTCAATAAAAAAAGAAATTATCTTATTTAAAAATATAAAATATTTATATATTTTTAAATATATATATATATATATATATATATATATATATATATATATATATATATATATATATATATATATATATATATATATATATATATATATATTATTTTAGTTAAATTATATATAAAAATAACTACTTCTTTTTTAACATAAAATTTACCACACAAAAAAAGTACAGAAGTACACATAAAACTAAAAACTGTAAGATTGACTTTCCAAAATAAAAAGCTTTAAAGAAAATTTTAAAGTTTTTTTTTTTTTTAAATAAGTAATTTTGGTTCACATATTTTAACTAAAAAATATTTTATTGAGTTTTTTATTTTGGCATTTGTACATAAAAGTAATTTTTATATTCAATTATAACTGAATAGAGATCGCAAATTTCAGAATAAAAAAACATATTTTTAACTTATGCAGCTTAGGTCGCAAATATCAGTAATATATTAAAAAAAAAAAAAAAACACCTCTGTTGGTTTTGTTGAAAGAAACTCTGAATATGTAGGTGGAAGCCTAGGAGGTTTAACTGGAGTGAATTTTTTCTCATCATCTTGTAACTTAATATTCTTTTCTTTTCCTGACAGAATGGATTCTTTTTTTAACTGCAACTGTTTTGCAAACTCAGAAGGCTCATCTTCCTCCTCAAATTTCACTGGAGTAAGGTCAATATCATTAATGAGAGGATGCATAACCGGAGCTCCTGACAACTGAGACTTCATTGTTGAGGAACGATATGGCATTTTTTCGTTGCGTGTTTGATCAATCTTATTTTCATTTGCTGCTTGTAAAATTCCTGATATATCAAAAGCCTTAGTGTCAGATAACTCTGTAATAGTTTTTGATGGTAATGAATAATCAGTAACTTGAGTATCATCAGTGCAATCAATAGGTTGCGGAGAATTTATATCTCCAGTAAAATTTTTAGAATATTCACTAACTTCGTGAACTTCCTTATTTAAATTGTTGGAGGGCTCAATCTTTTGAACAACAGGTTTAGGGGGAGTATCAAATGCTAAAAGTTGTTTGTGAAGAACATCAAACACATCAGTTGAATTCTTTATGTTTGCTTCATTTTTATTATTCATTTTTAATTCATCAGTACTATGTTTTGTGTTAACTTTAGAAGTAGTCTCTTTTAATTCATCAGTACTATGTTTTGTGTTAACTTTAGAAGTAATATCTTTTTTGACACCACTATCTAAATTCTCACTAACTTTTTTAGAAACATTATCAGGCACTTCCATTGAAGCAGTCTTTAATGCTTTTTGTTTCAATTTTCTCTCAGTTTCAAGTTCCTTTTCTCTTGCCAATCTTTCTTCTTTCATTTTTTCTTCAAATATATTTTTCTTATCTCCAACAGAAGCAATCTAAAAGTATTATTACTAACTGTTATAAGTTAAACACAAAAAAAGAAGAAATAAAATAAAAATATCATTAAAAATTTTCTGTAAACCTACACATACACACACATTATATATACATTTTTTAAATAAATATATACATTTATATTGCAATTTTAACTGCGCATGAGGTTATACTGAACTACTTTAATTGGCACTGTTTTATTGTTTTGCAATTTAATTTTAAAATGTGGGCTAAGTTTTCTTGACAAGGAACTAATAAAAAAACAAAATGTTTTTAGTTATAAAAGATATCCCTTGTACCTAGACTTGCCCGAACCCTCAGTTTATATATCTACTAAAGCCTCAACTGATGGCTATTACAGTATGACATCACCAGCAACATTTCATGCAAAGCTAATAAAGATGTTTATATATTATATTTCTATGACATAAAATATGACATAGACATCTTTATTAGCCTGTATAAAATATTATTGACAATGCTATACTGAAATGACTATCTGTGGAGGCATCAGTACATCAGTACATCTAGGTTTAAAGGCCTTTAATTTAAAAAAAAAAATTTTTTTGTGTTTTTAATTTTTTGTCTTATTCTTTTTTTTTCTTAAAACAATGTCTTGATTTATGTCAGCATTTTTAAGCTTAAAGTGTACAAAATATATTATGAAAGCTCCAACCTAAATCTGGAAAAGTAGATCTTGCACTCATTGGCCAGAGTAAATGAGTGCGAGAACGTAGAAATGCTCTCCTAAAACAAACATGGCAAGCAATATGAGCTGCTCCTCATAACAGCTTTTTAATTTGTTTTTTTTTTTTGAGCTTTTGAGCTGTTTTTTTTTTTTTTTTGCAAGCTATCAGTTTATTCATTACACAAATTGCTTATTAAATAAAAAATTTGATTTTATACTGGTTACAAACATATGCTTGCATGAAATATATACTTTTTGAAATTTTTTTATAGACTTAAGTTATTTGATAGAACAATTGGATAAATAATTTTTAATTGGATTAATTTAATTGAAACTTTAATTGGATAAACAAAAAGCTGTAAATGTTTTAACTGTTTATAAAAAAATATTTTTTTTAGTGTAATAGAATGCAGTAAGCTTTAGAATTATTACAACAATTAAAGATTCCACAATAAAAGTGTTTATTTAATTAAAATTATTTTTTCAGCAAAACATTCAATAGTGCATTATATCTTTTTATTTTGCTCAAATTAAGACAATTTTATATAATTCATTATATATAATATATAAAAAATGCAATAATTACATAATAAAAAAATTATTATGCAATTATTTAGTTATAGTTTTATATTATATGATGACTTTCAGTTAGTATAAAACGAGTTTGAGCAAAATAAAAAAAAGCAATTATAACATTCAAAAAGATTATTTTACCTGCTTAAGCCTATACACACACATACACACACAGATATATATATATATATATATATATATATATATATATATATATATATATATATATATATATATATATATATATATATATATATATATATTTGAATGTAGACATCATGTATGAGAGTATTTGTAACAAAAAGTATATTGGTGACAAAAATGCAAATAAAAACACGCATACAACAACACAAAAACAGTACAATAGGAAATAAAACAGAAAGATCAGAAAGATCATATATATATATATATACATATATATATATATATATATATATATATATATATATATATATATATATATATATATATATATATATATATATATATATATATATATATATATATATATATATATATATATATTTGAATGTAGACATCATGTATGAGAGTATTTGTAACAAAAAGTATATTGGTGACAAAAATGCAAATAAAAACACGCATGCAACAACACAAAAACAGTACAATAGGAAATAAAACAGAAAGATCAGAAAGATCATATATATATATATATATATATATATATATATACATATACATATATATATATATATATATATATATATATATATATATATATATATATATATATATATATATATATATATATATATATATATATATATTTGAATGTAGACATCATGTATGAGAGTATTTGTAACAAAAAGTATATTGGTGAAACAAAAATGCAAATAAAAACACGCATGCAACAACACAAAAACAGTACAATAGGAAATAAAACAGAAAGATCAGCATTAGCCACACACATGAAACATTGTGCACAACAAATTAACTGGGACAGTTGCAGAACTCTAAAAGTCAATAACAAAAAGTTTGATAGGAAAGTTCGTGAGGCCCTTGAAATACAGTACCACCAATGTGCCCCTCAACAAAGTGGTATCAATTTAGATGAGGGACAAAATGTGTCAACAAAATTCTGGACACCATTTCTAATGCACTTACGTCAGAAAAAGACAAAACCATTCCATTGACATATAATAAAATTGCCGTTTAAAAATAACATATAAACAAAAACAAACAAAATCTTTTAAGCTGAAGACGCTGGTCACAACAATCCAGCGAAAATTTCTTTTAAAAAAAAAAAAAAAAATTTAGTATTGAGAGAAAATCGTATTTATTGATGTTTATAAAATAATAATTTACATACTCTCATACATGATGTCTACATTCAAATATATATATATATATATATATATATATATATATATATATATATATATATATATATATATATATAGTGATTTCGTCTGTTATCCGTTTCAAAAACCGGATAACAGTTCTCATCAATTTGCGGTTAACCGACTATTCGGTAAACTAGTGACGCTTTCTGAATACAGGATCCTCTAAATTTCAACAAACGTAGCGTTTTAAACTAATTTTTTAAAAATTAATGTTAAAGTGTACATTTTCAAGACAGTGAATACAGTCCTATATTATATATTTATAACAAAACATGGAAAAAGATATATATTTATTTTTATATTATAATATAATATACCTTTTTAATTATATAATTAAAAAAGGTAGGAATAATGTACAAGTATAGTTTAAATGTTTTAATATCAGCGGATGTTTTAAAATCATTCTCTCATATAAAAACATTTGATTTGAAAAAATGAGATGTTATGAAGTAAATTTTTTTAGCGTGTATTTTAAAAACTTATTGTTATGCGGACATAGATGGAAACTTGAAGATAAACTTGAATGTTCTCAAAACAACTTGTTGCGTAAAGATAATATAAAGAATATTTGTTAACACTAAAATACCGCCAAATCTACGAATAAACAAATTCTATTGGTTCAAAAAATACGCCGAATAAGCGAATTAGAGCCATAATATTCTGAAGAAACTTTCTTAAAAATGTTGTAAAACATTTTTAAGAAAGTTTCTTGAGTTAATAAATAATAAATAAATCTTTGAGATTTCTATTGTAAATTGTTTTAAGAATATATTATCAAACAAAACTGATTAAAATAACATTTAAATTAATAAAAGAAATATATTATAATCTTTGATAAATTAACTTTTGTAAAACAATAATCGTCATAATTACGATGTTACTTTCTATAAAATTTCGTAAAATTTTCAAGTCAGTTTTTATTATTCGAAAATAGATATTTGATATTCGAACAAAATCCGGTTAACCGCAAAACCGGATAACCGGCGAAATCACTATATATATATATATATATATATATATATATATATATATATATATATATACACTTACTAAAGCATATTTTTATAAGCATTTGCTCTTTTTTTTTTTGCTTACCTTAATCCATACGACTTTTTAAGAAAAAGAAGAAAACAAACGAAGAATGATGAATGAAACGATTGCTGCCCCATCCCAAACCCTCAGTCGATGAAGCAGCACTTTACTGCGAATCAGGCTATTTGTCAGTCAATGTATGTACTGAAGCCCCCGCTAGCTATTTCAGTATGACATCAGATTGCTTACCTTAGTACGCAATACTAATTGTATTATATATATATAATACAATTAGTATTATATTAATTGTAATATATATATATATATATATATATATATATATATATATATATATATATATATATATATATATATATATATATATATATATATATATATATATATATATATATATATATATATATATATATATATATATAAACATACATTTAAATATTCCTGAATGCAGACACTTTTTTGCAAAAAAGACAATGTCTTAGGAAAAAAAAAAGCCCTCAACTTCAAATTTGGGTGGTACCCAAATACAATTAATTTAAATCAAGTTATTATAATGCTGTTTTTTCAGTCATAATTAATTTGTCACATATAAAAACAAAAAAAAAAGGTCCTCAGTTTTGAATTTGAGTGGCGCCCAAATACAGTCGGCACTGTTTAAAACAGTCTAGAATAGCTGATATATATATATATATATATATATATATCTGCTGTTTAAAACAGTCTAGAATAGTCTGATATGTATATATATATATATATATATATATATATATATATATATATATATATATATATATATATATATATATATATATATATATATATATATATCATAGATCATCCAGACCATTAAAATCCGGAAAATTGTTGGGTAAAATATCCGGAAAAAATTCGAAATATATTTCCCTCTTAATTTTGCTTTTAACTGAATTGTTTCTATTTTTTTTTTAAACTCTTCTTAGTTTTGAGTGATGAGTGAAAAAAGCTTAAAATACAAAAATATATACCTAAACTTGTATGTATGGAAAACGTTTTGGATATCCAGAAAAACTTAAAGTTGAGAAAAATATCAGGAATTCCGGAAATATCCGGAAAAAGATAATCCCTGATATATATATATATATATATATATATATATATATATATATATATATATATATATATATATATATATATATATATATATATATATATATATATATATATATATATATATATAAAGAGTTTGATTATTTGAAAAAAAACAACTTTGTGATGGAACTTAAGTTTCATGCCCTTCAGCAATCATTATTATGTCATATTTTATTCTTTAAATTAAGAAAAAACCGTTAAAAAATACAAAATACAGAAATTAACAGAAAAAAATCATAACAAAGCAATCAAATGAGTTCTGACGTCAAAACAAACAATTTTTCAATTATTTAGAAAATTGCTCAATCACCCGTGTCAAATAGGGCAAGAAGGAACTTGTTTCGACGCCTGCACTTGGATACCATTTCACTTTTTTTGTTTAGCAGATTTTTATTTTTGGAAAATAGAACTTCATATTTTTCATATGTGCAGGATTTTGTGGCTGGGTTGTAAGCATTGCACTGCTTAATTATTTTCCATTTAACAACTAAGTTTAATTTGGCATACTGGGTTTAAGTTGGCATTTTAATTTCTAAAATTCTTTTGATAATTCGGTGTCATTTTTGTATTTTAGAATGTTAAATGATTTTATATGGTTGGCATATCTAATTTCGAATGGTATTTCACTTATACCGATGTAGGATTTGTTGACAGGAGTGTTGGTAGGATTATTGGAACTTATATTGGCTTGATATACTATGTTTTTTGTTAAGCATTGGTTTGATAAAGAGCAGGTATTTTTATTAAGGCAATTACAGTTGGTTTTAGGTGGAATTTTGTTGTTGTTCATAAATTGTTTGTTGTGTGCATTTAAAAAAGATTTCATATTCGGCATACAGCTAGAACTTATTTTTATCGTGTTTCTGTTAAAAATTTTGTGGAGTCTTTTGTTTTAGGTGGAATTTTGTTGTTGTTCATAAATTGTTTGTTGTGTGCATTTAAAAAAGATTTCATATTCGGCATACAGCTAGAACTTATTTTTATCGTGTTTCTGTTAAAAATTTTGTGGAGTCTGTGATTTATTGGGAAGTGTTTGTTGATTTAGGTTAAAAAGCTTTTTCCTACATTAGTGCTAACATTTTTGCTGAAAGGAGCGTTGAACCATATGATGTTTCATTTACGGTTTTTGGTATGTGGTAAATTTAAATTAGGGTGATATGAAAGTTTGTGATTAAAACCGGATCTTAATAGCGCGTCATTGTACATAGGAATAGATCTTCAGAAGATTTCTTCACTTGACGAATTTGCAGACAATCTTAACTCAATTGAATGCGGTAGCTTTTTTAAAAAATTAGGCGGGTGGTTTGAATCAGCGTGAATATAGTTTATAGAATTCCCGGGCTTAGAATATGGTTGAAAAGTATTGTCGTTGAGATTTAGATATCGAAGGGTAAAAATCAACAATATCAAAAATAAGGAATTTATAAAGGCGTTTATCACTGATGCGATTTAACTAGTATGTGGTATCTTGGGTTTTTTTCCACTGATTGAGATGAAGTTTCTTTCCAAGTTCAGAGTTTATATTAGAAAGTATAACTTTACTAATTCTGCCGATTTCATTTTTGGCAGGGTTTAATAAACGGACAGTTGGATTATTTGTAAAGTTTTCTTTATGATCTTTTAATTTTATAAAACAATTTGAAGATGTATTTATGTCGATTTTATTGAAAACGCCGTGATTTTTTAATATCCGTTTACCTTCTTTATTTATTTGATTTTTTATTTTTGTATTTGATTTTTTGTATGTTGAGGTGATAGCATTTGTAAGCAAATGGGTATAATTTTCTTTAGATATATTATATAAATTGGATGTTTTATCGGAAAAAGTATATGTAAGTTTACTATTGCGTATGGTAGATATGTCATCTTTTAACTTGTCTTGGAAATTATTGTATACTTTACGAAATTTAATGTTTTTTATAAGATCTATCAGATCGATTTCAAATGCAGACATATCAAAAATTTGTTTGGGATAACTTGATGTTTTTATGCTGTAATTGTTACAAAAAATATTTTCCTTACTTTTTTGATCTTTATTAAGAAAGAAGAAAGCTTTCCGTCTCATTCTTTTTATTAATGCTTCAGTTTTATCAAGTAATTGTATTTTGTAGTTCTTTATTGATGGAATCGGAAAGTTCTTGATTGAATAATTTAAGTTAGTTTTTTTCATTGCGTGGACGACTTGAGAAGAGTGCTCGACGTATGGAGCTATTTAATGTTGTTTTATTGTACCAAGTTATGATACAAAGTTTCTGGTTCGTTTGAGAGTGATAAATATTAAGTAAATTGTTTACTAAATAGATCAGTATTATAATTTTTACTAAATAGATCAGTATTATAATTTTTACTAAATAGATCAGTATTAATATTTTTTTTAACCAGATTTTTATTTTTTCCAAAAATAAAAATCTGCTAAACAAAAAAAACAGCTAAACAAAAAAAGTGAAATGGTATCCAAGTGCAGGCATCGAAACAAGTTCCTTCTCGCCCTATTCGACACGGGTGATTGAGCAATTTCCTAATTAATTAAAAAATTATTTGTTTTGATGTCAGGACTCATTCCATTGCGTTGTTATGATTTTTTTCTGTTAATTTCTGTATTTTGTATTTTTTAACGGTTTTTTCTTAATTTAAAGAATAAAATATGGCTGATGATTGCCGAAGGGCATGAAACTTTAAGCTCCATCACAAAGTTGTATTTTTTCAAACAATCCAACTCTTTATATAATAATAATACTGATCTATTTAGTAAACAATTTACTTAATATTGATCACTCTTAAATGAACAAGAGACTTTGTATCATAACTTGGTACAATAAAACAACATATATATATATATATATATATATATATATATATATATATATATATATATATATATATATATATATACATATATATATATATATATGTATATATATATATATATATATATATATATATATATATATATATATATATATATATATATATATATATATATATATATATATATATATATATATATATATGTATATATATATACTAAAAACTAAAACTAAAATAAAAAACTAAAATTAAGACTTAACTAAAATAAATAACTAACTATTACGATAGGATTGTTTAGAATAAATAACTTGGAATCGTTTGTATTTGTTATTTGTACACAAAACCTCCACAAATTATCATATATATCATTATGAAATTGTCATATCCCTAATATATATATATATATATATATATATATATATATATATATATATATATATATATATATATATATATATATATATATATATATATATATATATATATATATATACATATATATATATATATATATATACACATAAATTATGACAAAAAAACAGCATTATAATAACTTGATTTGAATTGATTGATCACTGCATATTGCTTATAACAATGAAGACATTTTAAGGGTTTTTTTAAATTACATGTATATATTTATTATATTATACATATTTTATTATTATTTAATTAATTTTATTTTTAGTTATATTATTATAATATGGAAGCTTTGTAAATTTTTTAGGTAGTACACTAATATAAATTATAAAATCTTTCCCACTAACCAAAAAAAAAAAAAAAAAAAATTTTAACATTTGAATTTATAGAAATGTGAACTGAAATGTTTTTTTAACTTAATTCCACACCTAGTCCTAATCAAAACCCCAGACAGTCATAATGCAAATACTCTTTTATTATACAACAGATGTTCTACTTAACATGTATTTAACAAACAAATAACAAAATAAAAAACTTACTTCAATATCTTTTTGAACACTTTCTTTACTACTTTGAATATTTAGCTTTTGTGTTGAAGGCTTAGGTTTATCTGTTTCAGTTATTTTTATGGCTGATTGAGCAGTTTGTACAACTTTACTCTTAGTATGGGATGAATTCTGATGTTCTGATTCTTTTGCTAATGGTTTATTTATTGTGGAAGTACCCACCTACACAAGAAAAAACAAATAAACTTTTTGTTATTAAAATATATTTTAAACTACAACATTAACACATTGAAAAGTTAAAGCAATATATTAATTATGTGCACATAGTTGGTTAATATATATAACTATGTGTTTTGTAAATATCATTGACAAACTCTTCAACAATTCTTTGTAGTTATATCATTATGGATATAGCATTTAAGAATTAAAGGATGAACAACTACAAAATGGACTCTGAAATTCAGATTAAAATATTAATCAATGTCCTGTGACTGTAAGTCTTTATAGGTACAAGTCCTGAACTCTAATATTTTTAAACCAGAAGTCTTTGTATATTATTGTAACAATTGTTAGAATAAATAAAAACTTTTGACTACATATTTTTAAAAAATAACATTTTGCACATTCTAATGAAAACAAACCTTTGAAATTTGATTTTTTCCAAAAATCCGCTCTTGAATTTTCCTTGCACGTTCTTCTTCTTGTTGCTTTAACCTTTCTTTATTTCTCTGATTTCTCAGCTGTTCTATTTCATCTTCACGTTGTTTTTCTTGTGAATCAATTTGATTGCGCTCATTAAGGTCATCATTCAAATGTGCAAGACGTTTCTTGAAATTAAATAAAAACATCTTATTTAATATTAAGAACTTAGAAAACTTCATTTAAACTTATAAGTTACCTTTAAAGATGATGCAACTACTTTTGTTTGAGAGTCTTCTTCATTGTTTTTTGATTTCTTTTCAAAACTTGAATCAAAACCCTCAGAAGATGGTCTTTTTTTGGTTAATTTTTCAGAAGTTTCTAACTCTTTCTAAAAGAAAAAACATAAAACAATTTAACATTTTACAGTTCGAAACTGTTTTCAACCATATTTAATCAACAGATCTTAAACTGTATTATTTGAATCTGATTTTTTGTTACTAAATTGTTACAATTTTTGAAAATTCAAAAATTATTTTTCAATTTTAAAACATGCATTTTTTTTGTGTAAGTGTTAAAAAGTCATAAAGTTTTTTAAATATAAATTTCCTTTACACAAAGACACATTTAATTTGTATTGCATTAAAATATTTGAAATATACTTTAAGTAAAAAAATTTTTGTTTTCACAAAAGAATTTTAAAATGTTAACAGCTACATTTTTCCGAAGAAAGGTTAATTGGACCATGATATTAAGAATTGGTTTAGTGTTTGATTAATTGTGCTAATCATTTGATTAGCTGCAATCACATAATAATAATATGAGCAATTTTGATTATTTGTTAGATTTTGGTTGGTTCTATACAAAGTTCAATAATTACAAAAGTTATTTTTTCTAATTGAATATGATAATATTTTCATTAACAAATAATTCAAAACATTTATGTCTACCTTAATTCTCTTATGATTTCTAATTTTTGATTTTAATAATTGATAACTATTTTTATGTAAATAACATAATATAATAAATTAATAATTAAAATTACAATTTAAAGTTTATATGTCTAATTTAGTTTTTTAATGTTTTCAATTGCTTTTTTAATTTTAATTTTTTGACATTTCAATAGATAAGCTGTGATAGCTAATTATAACTGGATTGTTAAACCGTGAGACATTGTGTTATTTCATGTAATTCCTAATAAAGTAATATGCTTTAAATCATTCTCAATACATATTATCTTGTTGAATGTTAATAAAGTTAAAACCAGCAATTCATTCATAATTAAAATTTCAGATAAACATTCATTGAAATTTGGTTGAACCATTATAATTAGTAATAAATATGGCAAAAAATAAGAAACAATAAAAAAAAAATAACATCAAATAATTCTACCCCTCTCTCAGGTAACACAGGAAAAAAAAACCTTCAGCCACATATTTTTGTTTTTTGTAAAAAAAATAGATATTTTTTATAAGCAACATACCACCCAAATGAACATAAAAAACTGTGGTCAACAACTCCTTACTTGGTGGTCAACAACTCCTTACTTTCTCTGTTTCTTTGATAGGAAATGCAAAGATGTAAGAGAATTCTAACGCATTTATGTTTAAGGAAAAAAAATAAAGTTGTTTAAAAAAAATTGAATAAAAGTTTTTTAAACATGAAGAAACAAATATAGTAAATGTATACAACTTTTCTGAATGACAAGTCACATGATAGCTTGCTTAATCAGCAACAATGGCAGTATTTGTAAACAAGTGATGCAACTTTATGGCAATGTGATAGAGGCTCAAGTTTGGCAGCTAAAGCATGTTCCAATAATATTAACAAAAAGTGTTAAAATCAAGACTGCAGGTATAAATTTGTATCATTAGTAGTTATCAGGAAGATCATTAAATGAGGAATAAAACAAGATTAAATATGGAACTTTATACAACCCCAATTTATTGAAAATAAAGGGAAATGTTATTTATCAATGACAATTTTAACACTGCAGTTAGATAGGATTGATTTTATAATTTTAAAAAATTTCCCAGATACACCTGTGAAAACTTTCGAAAGTTGTACTATTTAGACTATATCATTTTTGTTTCCAAATTTATTTTATACAATCTCATAGTTAATTTTTCAGGAAATAAGAAAAGTTTTTTGCATATATCGAATATTGAGGTTAAGTTACATAATGAAGGTTTTCATAAAGATGATTTGAGGCATAGAATAATAATAACAAAAGTATAAAATAATAGCTAGAGAACAGAAAAAGTAAGTAGATAGTAATAGCAAAACAAAATATAAAAGAAAAACTTGAACAAGATATATTATTCTCAACTCTTTAGACTCCAGTGTTTTTTATGAAAATATATATATATATTATTAGCTAAACTCAACAACATTTATAAAATAAAAAATATATGATATAAAAATAAAATATATAAAAATTTGTTATATTTTATTTTTATAATAGTCTATTTTTAAATTTATTGATTTGGCAAAATGAATGTATATAAAAATTGACTAATTTAAGATATTATTAAAATTCACAAAAACTGAATTAATATAATACAACTTTAATGATATATAATTACTTTAAAAAAAAAACTCACAATAAATGAAGTGCTAATATACTATTTTATTCATAAAATATTTTTTAAGAACATTTTTTGTGCACTTTCATGCAAACAAACCAGAAGTATTTTTTAAATTTTGGATGAATTACCTGAATAATTTCATTTTGAATGCTTTTTAAAGGACTCCTTTGTGCAATACCAGTAGATTGCAACTTATTTCTTGCATCTTTGCGTGCTTGAGTTCTTTCCAAAAGTTTCTAATGATTTTATTAAAAACATTTTTTTTAATGGTAAAGGAAAAAAATTTGTTATCAGTTAAACATTACACTAACGTTCTCTTTAAATAAACAAAACTCTAAAACATTTATAAAACAAAAAATAAGTGAAATAAACACTAAAATACAAAAAAGTAGATGGATATAAAAATACATAAATTAGGAATATTGTTAAAATTCATAAAAACCAAGAAATATAATAGAAAATTTAAACAACAATTTTAAATATTAAACAACATTTTTTATAACAAATAACATTTTTTATAACAATAAACAAAGTTTTACTATGGTATTTTTGTGCATTTGATCAAGCAATTTACCTGGGTAAATGGATCGACTTTACTTGTACTGGTCATTGCGATACGATTTGTATGCTGGTCGATACGTTTAACACGTTTTATATACTAATACTATTTAATTTTAACAAACTGTATTATATTTTTCTGGTTTCTACAACTTTTTTTGATAGTTCACGACCAACATAAATGCAGTGAAACTGTCTTTAAAACTACTCGTGAACAACTTAATGTTTTGATTAGGTGTATATCTTGATTTAAAAATTGAGCCGTTTTAACTCGAGTATATTTTGATTGGTTGTTGTCATGGTTGAGCATGTCGTCACGCGCCCGATTAAACTTTTCCTACAATAAGAACCTATCTTTAAATACATATATATATATATATATATATATATATATATATATATATATATATATATATATATATATATATATATATATATATATATATATATATATATATATATATATATATATATATATATATATATATATATATATATATATATATATATATATATATATATATATATATATATATATATATATATATATATATATATATATATATATATATATATATATATATACAGGCGCGGATGCAGCATTTTTTGATGTTTGAGATACCTAACTTCCAGACATGGAGCAAACTCCAAAAATTTATATGTTTATATTTATATAAAATAAGGACGCTTTGCAAAAAATTGCAATGATTAGGGCCTGGGAACAAAAAAGCCCTAAAATTTTAGCTACACCTGCCCCAAACGTGAGAGCAACAAATTGATAAAATAATTTTTATACTATTCTTAACTAAATATATATTCATCGACAAATTTTAAAATTAACACAAAAATCTTTTAGCGTTCAAAAATTATGACCATAAAAGGTTTGAACCCCCCTCAATTTGAGGGGGTTGCAAACTTTATAAGGCCATAATTGTTGAACGCTAAGAGATTATTGGGTGAGTTTTAAAATTTGTTGATGAATATATACTTGGTTGAGAATAGTAGAAAAAATATTTTATCAACTTGTTGCTCTCACGTTTGGGGCAGGTGTAGCTAAAATTTTAGGGCTTTTTTGTTCCCAGGCTCCAATCATTGCAATTTTTTGCAAAGCGTCTTTATTTGATATAACTATAAACATATAAATTTTTGGAGTTTGCTCCGTGCCTGGAAGTTAGGTATCTCAAACATCAAAAGATGCTGCATCCGCGCCTGATATATATATATATATATATATATATATACAGGGGCGGATCCAGCATTTTTTGGTGTTTGAGATAGCTAACTTCCAGACATGGAGCAAACTCCAAACATTTATATGTTTATACTTATATCAAATAAGGATGGTTTGCAAAAAATTGCGATGATTGGAGCCTGGGAACAAAAAAGCCCCAAAATTTGAGACGTACCTGCCCCAAACGTGAGAGCAACAAGTTGATAAAATATTTTTTGTACTATTCTCAACAAGACTTACATTTATCCATAAATTTTAAATTTCATTGTAAAATATTTCAGTGTTCAAAAATTATGACCATGTAAAATTTGAATCCCCCTCAATTCGAGGGGGTTACAATTTTTATATGGTCATAATTTTTGAGCGCTAAAATATTTTACAATGGAATTTAAAATTTATTGATAAATATAAGTCTTGTTGAGAATAGTACAAAAAATATTTTATCAACTTGTTGCTCTCACGTTTGGGGCAGGTGCGTCTCAAATTTTGGGGCTTTTTTGTTCCCAGGCTCCAATCATCGCAATTTTTTGCAAACCATCCTTATTTGATATAAGTATAAACATATAAATGTTTGGAGTTTGCTCCATGTCTGGAAGTTAGCTATCTCAAACACCAAAAAATGCTGGATCCGCCCCTGTATATATATATATATATATATATATATATATATATATATATATATATATATATATATATATATATATATATATATATATATATATATATATATATATATTTCTTTTTTTTTTTTTGTCTAGGAAGGGGAAAGGGGTAGGAGCAAAAGTCCTTTAATATTGCCCACATTAGTTCCAAGGCTCTCAAAAAGACCACAGTAAAATACTGAACTATATAAACCAATCACGCAAATGTCAATCTGTTACAAATTAATATAATCCAATGTTATTTTCTGCATTAAGATTCTTGGGGCCCGGGGCTAAAAAAAAAAGGTCCTCAAAAATTTTTGGGGGCCCCTAAATTTGCGGGGCTATAGCTCCCCTTGATCCGGCACTGGGCATATCAATAATAGGCATAACAAATAATAGGCGTATATACTTAAAATAATATACTTAAACACGGACAGTTTTAATTTATGAATTAATAAAAAATAGTTAAAATGCAAGACTCTTACATATGAGTTATTATTCGGATGTTGTTTAAGGGTTTGTGAAATTTGCTTTATTAATGGGAATGGGGTGGGGATGGGAAAAAACTGGATAGGGTAGTAAGCAACCAGGGCTGATATTTTACTGGGGCCGGGTTTGATAAACCAAAGGTTTTGACATTATTGAAGCATAACTAGAAATAAAAAAAAGATTAAAAAAGAATTATTTGATACAGAAAATCAGACAATAAAGGAACAATTGTATCTGAGTGATCTTGATGATTTGCTTGATGTTTTACTAAAGATGCATTAGAAGCAATGACCAATAATGAGGATAAACAGTTTCTGCAGATGATGCGAGATGATCTATCTAGTGCAAGTATGGCCAATATCAACAAGTTTCTTGCTGATAAAGAGGCTCGTAAAAATAATCGGCTTTTGCAGGCAGTTTCTTGAAAAAAAAAATCTCATATTGAAATGCAACAAGCATTTGCTGCTTCTATAGTGCCAGTGGACGTCGACGAATCTAATCCTTTGTTTTGGAACTGCACTACCACTGCCCAACGGCTACTTTTGACACGATTGTGTTTGACACAACTAGTTCTTACTCTGAAATTCATCTTGATGCATGCACATTGAGAAAGTTTTAAAACGTGAAATGATATGGATTAAACGCGTCACCATATATTTGAGGTCATGTTGTCGGATGTATTCTCAGCTACAGTGGCAAACACTAACAGACCAACTATCGGTGTCTTCAATGAACTGGGCTGTCATCAACAAATCTAGCTTCAAATTTGCTGCCTATGATGTCTTTAATGGTTTACAACAAGAGATGACAATGAAATGCGACAAAAGAAGACAATGAAAGATGACAATGGTGGTAAATGCTTTGCACTTAAAAAAAAAACATTTGATCACATCAGCTGTTTGTCAGAATATGTCACAAGCAGGTCAATGTTATTCTTTGATTTGCAATTAAAGATAGAAAATAATAGGCTGAATCATTCATATTGAAGTCATCTACTAAATGTTTTAGTGATGCGATATTCCAGGACATGAGTGCGAAAGTTACCTTTCTCAACGGAGTTAATGACACGACAGAGCCCTCATCCAAAGCTATAACAGTGCACTGACAAAAGACAAGACTCAAAAACAATTTTTTTTTCAGCTTTGTAGCAGCCATCGGAAGCAGTTTCCTGCTCCAACTAAGAGAGCGGTGATGAATGTCAATAAATATCTTCCGGTAGATTCTGGATATTCCGGTACCGGTCGGTGGTTATAGCAGGCTTGAATGCAAAAATGTTCTTATATAAACAACAGTAGCTCATGTAGTTACATGAGCAGCCTTGTGGATTAAAACAATTCATAAATTTAATTTTTAGGCCACCCTAATATACATTAGGGTGGCCTAAAAATTAATTTTTCAAATTAGTTTTTTAAGTAAGTATCTGATTTTTTTAGGTCATTCTAATGTATATAAAGGTGGCCTAAAAAAATCAGATACTTATTTAAAAACTGTATATTTACTCAAGTTATTAGACTCAAAAAAGAAATGTCCAGATTTCGTTAGTTTTTTGAATTTTCTTTGATAGGTAGGGGTTATTGCTGTTAACTTTTTGTTGTTTATGTGTGGTTTAACTTCCTATCATTTTTTTTTTTGTTTTAGATTAAAAATATTTTAAAAAAATATATATTTTTAAATAATATTCTCAACTTTATAAAAGGTACGGTAAATTTTAACAATATAAAATTAAAAACTTGCGGTTGATTTTGCCTGTCGTAACTCAAATTATATGTCTTTTTTAGAAATCTACATTATTGTAGGCTGTCTTTACAATTTAAATAATAAAATTTCAGTTGTTTTCAAGTTACCTTTAGGTGCTTATTGACTGCAAGATTGTACTGTCACCTAAAGGTAACAGAACAACCTTGCAGTCATATAGTAATTTATTGAATGTTACCGTTATTTTAGGATCAATAATGGGTAAAGCAAATGATGTTAACCCACGTAAATTAGCTAAAGTAGCTGATCTCTTGCAAAAAACAAATCGAAGAAATATTGCCAAAGTTATCAAAGTCTTGCAGGCTATTGTCAGAAAAATATATTCCAAACTCAAATGTGGGTCAAAATAGAATCATAGAGGACTGCTGATGTGTCAGAAAATAGATAACTAGTGCTAGATATGACAAAAAAAAATTAAAAAAAGTTATCGAACTAAATTGTAAGATGCTAGCAATAAAACTGAAAAGCGTTTTAAAAAACCAAGGAATCAAAATTTCAGTTGGATTTTAAAGAAGGAGAAGTACCAAGACTAAGAGAGTAGAGCAATGGTACCGCTTAACTTTTTATTATATAAATGAGGACAATAAAACAAGATCGGTAAAAGACTGTCTTACAGACTACCCTGATTCCAGAGATTCAAAAGTGGTTTCTTAATGATGAAAAAATAGTTTTTATGCAAGATTGTTTCCCTATGTTATATTGCAAAATCCATAAAGACATTTCTTGCTAATAAGAGTATCGAACTTCTTGATTGGCCTGGCAATTATACAGATATAAACCCTATTGAAAATCTGTGGGAACTTGTCAAACCTAGAGTCAGTGCTGACATAATAACGAGTAAACAGAAGCTCACAGAAAGGTTGATTGAAGTATGGCTTCGAGATCCAGATGTTAAAGCATTGACCTTGAAGTGCATAAATGGTATTCCAAGGCGTATCAATGTCCTTTTAGAGTCGAAAGATCTCACCATCAAATATTAGGTTTCATAATATGCTTTGTATGTATTAATATATAAGTTGTATAATTTATTTATAACTATTATATAATAACTTGTAATAGTTATTATCGAGATCAGTTGTAGAACTTATTTTTAAACTCCTATTTCAACGCTGTCCATCAGGTTCGTAAACAATAAAAAAATTATCCCTTTATTTGCAAGGCTCCACTGCACCTATCTTTTATATATCCCTATTTACCTGACCTCTATAAAACAGAGTTAGCTTACGCGAAGAACGCTCTATGTTGGAATAGGCGTTTGACAAGAGAGTTTTAACACGAGAGTTTTTTTTTAAATCACAAAATCAACAGCTTTGATTATATTATATTTTGCCATAACTACTACTCATAAGAAAATATTCTGTAACTTTATTAATTCCATATTAATATAGAAAAAGTCTACTAGAATATTAGTTAAGGAAGTATAATAGCTTAGCTGGAGGGAGAACGAAGCCGAAAATGGATTTAATTCGCGTAACAATCTTTGTACTATAATTATTCCAGTATCAAGCCAAAATGGCGCTTTTGCAAAAAAAATGAAAAATTTTGAAATGTAATCAGTAGGCTTTGAGAGTTGTAATCGAAATGGATTAATAAAATAAAAGTTTGTTGGACATGTTTTTAACAACTATTCGATCAATCAAGAAGTTAATAAAATCAAAAATCACGATTATCGTAAAGTAATTGTTTCTTGCGTACCTTAATTAAAGATATAAATATCAAAGTTTTAGACAATCACTACTATCTATTTGAAATTTATTTTTTGCTTGCCTGTTCAGCTATAGGTTATTTATATTCTTTAAGACTGTTCTTTCGGCCAAGAACTTATTAAACCCCTCCAGGATTTTATTTTGTGTTGGAGTATTTTTGATGGATTTAAAAGCAAATTGCTTTATTCTAAATATAAAATACATGGCAAAAATATAAAGAGATATAAAATACATGCGAAAATACAACCAATTTTTATCTAGACATTTATTAATTTAATTCTAATCTAGAAATTTTTTATTAGTCATTCAAAAAACACAACAAAAAAATAACAACAAACTGACTTTTAATATTGTTTATCAATTGTTTAAACTTCCATTTTTTTATTTGCAATACTTTAACTGCTTATGGCGTTTTAAAACAATATAGCTTTTGTGGAATAGCTTTTGTGGAATGCGTTCTTTGAGAAATAACGTATTTTAACTTCGTTCTCCCTCCAGCTACGCTATTATAACTCCTTGATATTCTCGTCAATTACTGTGTTATATAAATTTATTTACATATTTTTAGTAATGCTAAAACTTATATTAAAACTTATAACTAAATTAATATACAATTAAAACACATTGGGAATTCATAAAAATACTGCATAAGCAGTATTTTAATGCGTTATATTTTAAGCGCTTAACGGTAGATGATAATAGTATCTATCGAAAAACATTAGTTTACAAATATTCAGTGTTTTTTAATTGCACATTTAGCCTTTTTACAAAATAACGTAATGGAATCAAAATCACCGAACAATCTAAAATAAAAAAATCGAAGCCAACCTACAATTAGTAAGCGATCGGGGTTGATTTTGACCGGGGCCGGGGCCGAGTTTGATAAAATATAGCCGGGGCCGGATTTGTGACCGGGGCTGCATAAATATTTATACATCCTAAATTTAATTTTTTTTAATTTTATTTCATATTAAATTTTGTATATATATGCATCATTAAAACATCATTATGATCAACATGATTATATTCATCAATACCACCACCCCAATTAACCATTCCAACTGGGTCCCAGTTGGGACCTGACTGGGGAAAATGCTGGGACCCATATTAGTATCTCACACGGATCCCATTGCGATTCTGTAAGTGGGATCCAACTGGATTTCATCTGGGATTAGTTTGGGTTTTTGACGAGAAATCCCATATTGAACAAAGATATTTTTTTCATATACTGCGGGTTTTCTCAATTTTTTTATGGTTTATTTTTCGCAGATTTTTTGTCTCGAATCTGCGAAATAATGTGACAAATTTATGATTAAAAAGCGTCGCATTTTTTTTATAAAATTAAAAAGTAAAGGTTATTTATATTATCTATATTAAATTCGCTGTTAGGGCAATAAAATGTATAAGGCAAATGAATATTTGGTGTGACAATTTTTACGAGTCAATTGAAAAAACAGATTTGAATTTCATAATATTTTTAAGCAACAAAAAGTTAATATTATTCAATGATTTGATGTTAACATTTGTTGAAGTAAAGTATTTTCTGTTGTTAATCATAAATCAACACAAACCAACTCTAAATACAAAACATAAATGCTATTGATCATCTTAAATAAATTTAATAAAGTTTTATTAAAATTTAAAATTTAAAAGCTTTATACTTAAATAACATAAATAAAAAATGTATTACCAAAAAAATTTGATATCTTTTTTATAACTTTGCAAATAAACATATTATATATGACTTTATAATATCATATAATAACACAATAAAAATTGACTTACTATACCCGACGGGCATTTCTTTTTAAAAGTTACGATCTAAATGTATTTTAAATGTCTTTTAAACGTCTTTTAAACATTAATGTTTAAAAGACGTTTAAAAGACATTTAAAACACATTTAGAACGTAACTTTTAAAAACAAATGCCCGTCGGGTAGCAAGTGAAAAATACAAAACATTCATGATTATTCAAACATTCAGTTTTTGCAATATTTAGTATCAAAACTACATTTTCAATTTTATATTGCACTTAAGTAGCATTTTATAATTGTATACTTAATATATTTCACAACATATTCTAAAAAAGTTATATAACATTCTGTGATAATTAATTAAAAAACATCTTAAAACCTTAAAACTTAAAATTTCCTAGCAAAATTGTTTCCTAAACAAATATCTGAATATAGCTATCAATATATATACACTTTTATATTTTAAAGAATTAAAAAAATGTATTTAATAAATAAATATATTCAAACAAAATATGATAATTTTTTTATTATTACAGACAAATAAGGTTAAACGTTAAAACACCTAATAATTTTTGTTATTACTATTATTAGTTACAAATAATTTACAATATAAACAATTTAAATTTTTTTTCATATAAAACCTTATATTATAACTTACAATATCAGTTACAGTTTTTATAATATAAGTAATATATTATTAATTATATAACTTATAGAAAATGTAAAACATTAATGTATTTATAAATAATATGTAAAGTTTATGTAAAGGGTTTTGCAAAGTGACATTCAGATTTGTTTGAAAAAGATAATTTAAAATGAAACACACTAACTTAGTGTATTTTGCTTTTGTAACAGTAACGCAGTTACTGTTACAAAAGCAAAGCTTAGCGTATTTTGCTTTTTGTAAACAACAACGCAGCTTGATTTGGATTAAATATACACTTACATTTGGAGTGAACAGGAACTTAATCTGGTTCATTTTTAGTATTTTGGTAAAAAAATAGTTATTTACATATCAGTTTTAATTTTATAATAAAAGTATAAATACTTTAATAGCAATATTTAGACATTTAACAAATAGTTTTAAGTTTGACAGTATGTCAACCTTTTTTTTTTTATAGACTTGTAAAATGTTTGAAGGCATATTTTTTATTTTCATATGCGATAGACAAATGTTGAAAACTTTTTAAATTAGTTTATGTGCTTACAGTTATGGCTTATAACTGTAAGCACATAAACTAATTTAAAAAGTTTTCAACATATGAAAATAAAAAATATGCCTTCAAACATTTTACAAGTCTATAAAAAAAAAAAAGGTTGACATACTGTCAAACTTAAAACTATTTGTTAAATGTCTAAATATTGCTATTAAAGTATTTATACTTTTATTATAAAATTAAAACTGATATGTAAATAATTATTTTTTTACCAAAATACTAAAAATGAAACAGATTAAGTTCCTGTTCACTCCAAATGTAAGTGTATATTTAATCCAAATCAAGCTGCGTTGTTGTTTATGCCATTTTAAAAGATTTTATTATATTTCCAAGCATAATTTTTGCCGCAATCGTTTTACCATTTGGGACCCATTTTTTACCCAGTTCAAATCCCAGCTATAACTCAGTTCCAGTAATCCAGTTACATCCTAGCTGGGACACAGTTGTTGTGGTTAACTGGGCAATTAATAATTTTTATTATTAATTACTATTATTTACAAATCATTCGCAATATAAATTATTTAAATATTTGTAATGCAAATTAAAATTTAAGTTATAATATTTATAATATAACTCAAATTAAAAATATAACTTTACAAAACATAGTATTAATAGGTTTTGTAAAGTGATAATATTACTATTAGTAAGGTTTTACCAAGTGACACTGCGATATATAAACTTTATATATCATTTATAAATGCATAATATAAATGTAAGATTTAACATTTTCTATAAGTTATATATTTTATAATATATTACTTGGACTATAAGAAATGTATTAATTATACTACTTATATATAAGTAGTATAATTAATTTATATATAAAAAAAATCTTACATATAATTACGTTCTCTCATACGCGTCCGTTTTTTATTTTGACATCGCTTTTCTGTATTTTTTTTTTGTTGTTTTTCCAAACTATAGTTTGTACTACGCTATATGCATAAAGGTAAAAAGTGTTTAAAAGCTAGCAAAAAAATAAACTGCCAACTTTTATTATATTTTTTCGTTTAAAGTGAAGGTTAAACTTGTTTAAAGTTATGCAATTTTTAAAAAATTGCGATTTTTTCACTGTTAACGAATCCTGCCAAAATAGGTAATTTTCATATAAAGAATTTAATATATCTATATAAATGCTCATAAATAATTTTGACTCAAATAAATTATTTAAAGATCTTTCATTTGATATATTATAACCGATATTTCAAAACCTCTTTTATGTTTAAAAAAGTTGCTTACAGTTGCTAGCGCCAAATAATTTTTTGTTTATAGTGCCATTTTTTTTATTATTGTCATTGTTGCTTTTTATTTTTCTTTACTTTAGATGGACCACAAGACTGCAAAAGATATTTGCGTTTTAATTAATTCATATAAATGCCAATCGAAACCTTTGTTAAATGGTGACATTTACAAAAATTTTTCTGAAAGTAATTTCAAATTATCAAAAACTTGTCTGAAATTAAAAAAAAATTTAACATTGGGCCTAAAAATGCATCTGATTTTAAAATATTCTTTAACAATGAAAGATACTTGCATAAAAAGGTAAAAATCTTTTAAAAAAAACCCTACCCAGTCATGGGCTGCTATCCTTGAGGCCGCGATCGCGTCACAAAACGAGCTACCATCTTTGTATGGGGAAAACATTGAACAAAATGTGAAATTAGCGCGTTTTGTTCATTGTTTTAAATTTAAGGGATTAAAAAAAACGCGCTACTAACGCGCTTTGCTCAATGTTTTCCCCTTACAAATATGGTAGCTCGTTTTGTGACGCGATCGCGACCTCAAGGATTGTTAATTTTTTGCTGCAACCATTTCAATATGAAAGAAAAAGAAATAGTTCTAATAGAAATATTCACTTGAACATTGCAAGTGATTTAAATATTGCCTCAGGCACAATGTAGAGAATAAAGAGTGATTTGTTTTTTGAAAAATCAATGACCCGTAACAAGCTTAAAAACAAAAAAATTAAAAGACAGTATTTTTCACTAAATTTGTGGAAATTGAAATATTAAGGAAAAAAAAAACTCAACAGAATAAGTTTCATTCTCTAGATTTCATAAATGAATTAAGAATTCTTAAAATTAGTAGAACAAAGTTGCAACAAAATGTTAAAAAGATAGAAAAGAAACACAAAATTGCTATCAAAGAATTACCGGAACAGATAAAAATTAAAAAGCAAGAAAACAAACAACTTGTAGAACAAAATCATTATTTAACTAGTATTGTTTTAGAAAAAAAAAGATAATAGGCTACTTATAGAAACCAAAAAATTAAAAACATGACCTACCCGAAAGAAAATGTATTTTTCCTCCTATTATTAACAATGTGCCTGTGGAAAGTGTCTCATTTTTGTTAGAAAAGATTTCTGAATTGTTACACAACACAGAACTGTAAGAAACACCTCACTCATCCACAGTAAATAAAATGGTTTATGAGCCAGGTGTTTTAGCATTGGTTCAGGCTGGTGAGGCACTTTTTCATTGTGAATGCGCAACAGTAGTGTTTGATGCAACCACCGTTTTAGACAAACATGTAAATGAGTTTCTTATCAGTACATATCCTCAGCAGAGGATATGTACTGATATTCCTTTAGCAACCGCTAAACTTGATGGAGGTACAGGATTTGACTGTGCCACTCATACTGTCAGTGTAATAAAAGAACTTGCCAATACATTTGCAGTTTAAAAATATGCCAGCAGTAGAATTTTTAGATGTAGAGCACCTATTAATAGTTGTGTGAAAGAGACAGACAACAGGTACTCTGTCTGTTAATAGTTGTTTCACACAACTATTAACAGACAGAGCACCTGTTAATAGTTGTGTGAAAAATATGCTTCAGGAGGAGATGGACATTCAATTAATGCAACTGCAGTGCAATGTTCATCCATTGAAAACTATTGCCTTAAAATCATTATTAGCTCTTAAAATAATAGATAATGTGTTGAAGATAAAACCGGCTAAAGGAACTGATGGGGTTGCAGTAACATTCCTCAAAAATATTTCTAAGCTAACGTATTCTTTTATATGCATATTTTTCATTATTTCAGTTTTTTTTTAGTTTCACTTTCTTGTGAGCAATTGTTTCTTTATTATTTCCACGTTTTGAAAATTTGAAATTTTAATTTTTTTGCCCTTTAAAAATCAGGTATAGTTTTAAAGGCGATCCTGCAGCATTCAAAAGCTATCTTAAAAAAAACAATGTTGCTCCAGGGCTATTCCTTAGATATGTTGGTAGTAGATTTCATGTTTTGTTCCATATGGCAGGGATAGTTGTAACATACGAAAGACTTGTAAAAACCTTTCTTGAAAAGTAAGTTTTTTTTTGGATGAATATTAAGTTTAATAGAATTCCATGTATTAGTATTTTTTCTTTATTTTAGCAACATCAAAAATAAAATTTTCCAGCTCTTACTTCAAAATATGAGTAATGATATAATGCTTGTGCAACTGCAAGGGCTGGGCCTGATAGGAAAAATAATAACTGGGCTATGGATGAGTCTGGTTTATAAAAATGCAACAGGAAAGGGTAATTTTGAGTTTGTAAGTTTTTAAGGTTTTTTAATAAATAAATAAAGTAATTTAAAAAATGTACAAACATTATTTTTTTATTAGGATTACATTTTCAAGAAAGCAATAAGAAAGTTAGTTTACTATAAAAGTAATCCAAAACCAATTCTTTATACAGATGTGGATATTCTTAGTCAAGTATTAAATAATAAAGAAGATAAGGTACACCAATTCCTTCGTGTAATAAAAAATAAAAATATTTTGGTAAAAGTTTTATCAGCTTTGATAAGCTACACAGAGACAGTTCTCAAAAGACAGATAGCCAGGTATTTGACTGGCAGTCTCTCAAATCCATCTAAAGAAATGATAAAAACCACACTATCTGCTCCACCTCATACAATGGAGGCTGAAAGGATCTTGGGGATGCTTGTTTTTTTTTTGCGTTGTGCTCCTAATGCTACGTTTGGTTTCCTGGATTCTAAAATAAAAGCCAGAGTAAACAAAACACTAATATGGCCTGATGAGAAAACATTGACAGAACAAGAAAACCTTATTCAATTTGCAACTCGCAGAGGAGCTTTAACGTGTCAAGCCTCTAAAAATTATAAAGAAATAGGAAAAAGATGCGCCAAAGCTAGTTTAAAAAAAGAACGTCTAGAAAGAAAGCAACTAGAGAAGGATATTAAAAGAGCAATAGCTGAAAATGCCAAAACCACAAATCCTCTTTTTATGAAAAACAAAAACAAAGTTTAGGAGTGATTTTGAAAAATGGAAACTTAATAGGGCAGCTCTTAAGCCATAAATGGGAGCTAGATGATGGCAATATACATTTATTTTTTGGTAGAATTGTTGATCAAAAGGTAGCAACAAAAAAAAAATCTATTACATACACAATAGGATATTGGAAAGTCAATGAAGATGAAGCTGAAGATATTGACATAAGCCAGGAAGGAGTATAGCAGATCTATTACTTAAAGACCTAGAGTTCATTTAAAAATTGCTATAATATATTAGACATTGCTATCTTTTATTTTGTTTATGTTGATTATTTTGTTTACATTTTTGTTTATTCCTTTTAATTTTAGATATTAACCAAGAGCAGACACAGGGTTATTTTACATTTCAGATACTGTACTTGGCATTGTGAAAACTCTAAGTATAAGTATGTTCAATCATATGTCAAATAAGAATGATTTGCTAAAAAATTGTGGTAGTTAGAACTTAGGAACAAAACTATATAAAAAAGATAAAAACCCCCTTTCTAAAATGTCAATTTAATGAGTTAATAAGTTTTTAAGTTCATAATCAAAAACTAAATTTAAATTCAAATTTTTTAATGCTCAAAGTTTATGACCATGTAAAATAACTTAAAAAAATAACTTTAAAAACATCAAGAATTATTGGGTCTGTTGATTGATTTAAATGTAGTATAAATAATAAGTTAAAGTATTTTAATAACTTAGTCCCCTTACATTTTTATGCGGGCGTACAAACTTTTAGGGGTATTTTGTTCCCAGGCTCCAATCACTTCAATTTTTTATATAAATTTTCTCCACATTCACATTAGATTTAAGCATGAACAAACTTAAATTTAGATTAATTATGGTAATTTGATCCACTTTTAAAATGGGCTTAAACACCCCCCCCCCCTATCCTTTTTTTTTTTTAAATTTAAATAATATAGGTGGGATATAATAAACAGTTTTTATTATATATGTGACGGTAAATTATTAATATCTTATGAGCTATGTTTTAAAGTCCACTTTTTGTGTAGTCCACTTTTTGTGTAATTTTAAGCTATGTTTTAAAGTCCACTTTTTGTGTAATTGTTAAGATGTCCATTTTATTTTCTCCACCTTCAATATTAAATACCTTTTTTTTCTAGTTGACCCCAGATAATAAATTTGGTATAAAAATTTGTCATTTAATAATCTCTATATAATAGAATTAATTTAGTTTAAAAAATAAAAGTTTAAATTTTTTATGAAGGTACATATAATAAATGTATGTATTTAATTTTTTTTCAAAATGATGTAAGTATGTAAAATTTACATGTAATTTATAAATACATGATTATATAATGGATTATCCATTTATTAAATGATTTATGTAAAAATAAATAATATGTAAAGTTGACATACGACAGTAAGCAAAACACATACACATAGTAAAAGGCACATAGTAAAACTTTGCTATGTTTTGTAAAAAAAATTTGTCAAAGTTACTTTACAAAACATAGCAAATTCAAAGGTTTTTCAAAAAGTCTTTGAGATTTGTTTGTAAAAAAAAAAAAAAAATTAAACACATTAAACCATTTCTGTAAGCACACTAAACCATTTAAATAATTTTAAAAATTTTCAACGTTTGTCTATTGCATAATTACAGAATATGCCTTCAGTTTGATAAAACATTCAAAACTACACAAGTCTGAAAAAAAGTAAACGTTATAATATCTCAAACTTATTAATAGCTCAGATGTTCAGTCTGAATTTCAGTCTAAAATTTGATTTCTCACATTTCATAAATGAAGGGCATTTAAGAATTTTGAGAGCATATCATATTTCCTTTTTTTGTGTGTGTGTCTGAAATCGTTTTTTAAATTGATGACTAAATATTGATTTTATCATATTTAAATATAGAATTAAAACTGTTATGTAAATATTTTTTACAAAAGTACAATAAAAAAAACCAAATGAAGTTCCTTTGTACATTTACTCCAAATGCAAGTGCATATTCAATCTAAATCAAGCCGCGTTACTATATATGAATTTTAAAAAGAATTTATAATTTTATTTCAACAAAACTTTTTAATAAAAACGATGCCAAAAAAACTCTTTTGATTATAAAACACACGCTATAATTAAACCACCAGTCCCATCTTCAAGCCAGCCGTATGCCATTTACGGAAGCCCCATGCCAATTCCAGTAAAAACCCAGATTTTATTCGGCATTATTTTCATACCATATGGGACCCATCTGGCACCCAGAACAAATTCCAGCCCGAACCCAATCCCAGCAGTCCCAGCTCCATTCCAGTCAATCTTAGCTGGGATCCAGTTGGGCTGGTTAACTGGGATAATCATTATCATCATCAGTAGCAGGCTTAAGCCTTCTTTTTTTATGCTGTTTCTCTAATCATGGTCAATGCTCAAACAAGCTACCACCTCTATTATAATAAACCAAAACTCATTGTTGCTTGGATTCTTTTTCAACAAGTTGCATTATTTTACTGTATCTATTCCTATTTATTAAATACTGGCAATTTAATAAATAGTAAATAAAGTATAAAATTATAATATATAAAGAGTTATAAATTTATTTTTAGCCCCGGCTATCAACCCCTGCTCAATGATATATTATATAAATAGATGTCTAACTTCGATCCGAAGCGATCCGCTTTTTGCCCTTTTTACAAATGGCAGATTAAATTTGAAAACAAATATTTTTAACTTTTCTTTTCTTAAATGAAGTAAATACATTTTAAATTTAAATACTATTTACGTAAAAGTATTAAGCGGAAATTATACTTGTAAAATAATAATTTACGATTCCTTAATTTATTTTCAAATAAAAAGCGATTAAAGTTTTGAATAATAAAGTAAAACGACAGACGCTTTTGAAGCATTTTTATCAATTAAAATACTTTTTAATAAACATTGGCTCATAAAAAAACTTTTATTAGTATTTTATAATTATTAAAATTTGTTTTTGAATTATCTTTAATTTATTAGGAACTTTTGACTTTTTATTTTTTATATTTTTTTGAATTTTTAACTTTTATTCCACACTTCGGCTTCAGCTTTTGCCCTTTTTACAAATGGCGGACTATTGTTATAAACAAAATAAAGCTTCACTTTTTGTCCATTAAAATCCCGCAAGTTATTATATCTAGTTATATAATAATTATATAATCCAAGGAGGTTTATGAATACATCACCGCCCTCTCCTTAAATACATCATTGCCCGTATAATATTGCCGGGGCCGGATTTGCAAAAAATCTCATTTTCAGCCGAGGCTACGGTCAATCAACAATATGTCAAAAAAATTTTAATCAAAGATAAGTTTATTATGAAGTCTGATTTAAAGATTTTCAAGAGGCAATATCTACTTATTTTTATTTTTATAAAATATCTTGTTACGAAATGTTCAGCAAAAAAATTAAACGGTAGTAAAGTGTTCATGCTTGTTTTAGATGGTGTAGTTTATGATTTTGAAAAATACACTCTTAATACGCCTAACATTGCATCAATCGCCAAAAATGGTGTTAAAGCTGAACGTATGATTCCATCATTTCCGTCAGATACATGGCCTTCTATGACAACTTTATCTACAGGTCTTTACACAGAGTCACACGGAATTATTAGTAATTATTTTCTTGACATCCAAACTAATAAAATATTTAAATACACAGATAAACCAAGTGATTATGAAAACAATGGTAAATTTTTTACAAAAGAACCTATTTGGCTTACAAACCAGAAGCAAGGAGGTACTATATATATATAAATTAAATCTTAATTTAATTCTTTAATTAATTTTTGTTTTTATTTCCTCTTTTATTTCAATACTAGTTGATCATAAAGTTCAAAATTGTTAAAAAAAACCTTTTTTTTATTTGAAAATAACATAAAGCCCATCTCTTCATAACTACTTAAAAGTTTTTAGACATAGGCATAAGAAAAAAAAATGTAATAAATTAATAAAATAACGTTTTTATATTTAGGTGCCAGTGCTGTTTATTATTTTCCTGGTTATAATGGATTCAAAGAAAAGCCTAGATACCATAATTCACCAAATATTTCTAGTAATGACAATATAGAAACATTCCAAAACACTGTTGATTTAATTATGCAGTACATTCAAAATGATAAAAATTTAAATTTTATTTTAATTTGGATAGACAAACCTGATCTGACTGGGCATGAATTCGGAAAAAATTCCTTACAAGTGAGTTCAATTAGTTTCTATTGAGAACCATTAAAAAAGACTAAGCTCAAATAAATTTTACATGTTTTTTAGTATAAAGATGCACTTGAAAGTGTGGACAGAGATGTTGTAGGCTATGTATTAGAAAAGTTGAATTCTTATCCTGAAATTAACCTAATTTTGACTTCTGATCATGGTTTTATTGATATTGATTATAAAAGTAAACTTCAAGTCAAGTTTTTGGATGATTATTTACAATCAGGTTCATATCAATCAAATTGGGCTGGTGGATCTTGTTTTTTAAGGCCTAAAAATGGATTTACAATTGATGATTTAGTGAATAATCTAACTTCTTTAAGTCAAAATAACTTTAGGATATACAGGTATTATAAATAAACCTTTCTTTAACCGGTATTTCTCAGATTATAAATGAACCTTTTGTTATTAGTAACAAATGTGGCAGTAGTTTTTTATTAGTTTAATTTAATTTTTATTTGTTGCACCTGAAAGTAACAGTACAATTTAGAACTGTATTTGTTTAGTGTATTATATATAACATTGTAATTTTAGATAAATTAAAAAGCACATTTAAGTCACATGCTCATATCAATCCAAGGTTGTTTAGAATTAAGTCAGTTGATTCAAAATAATTTGAATCATTTTAAAATTATTTTTTATTGATTATTTAATATAATATCTATTTACATTTAAATGCAATAGCTAAAAATAACTCTTATTTAAAATATTAGTCATATATATGCACTATATAATATATATTGTATATTTTTATACTTATTGTAAGATTTATATTCAACTAAGAATTTTCTTTTTCATATTTTGTTTAGTTTCATATTTGAATCTATTGACTAATTACATTAATATAATATAAAAAAAATATTACAAATTCTATAAAAAATATGAATATATATTTATAATATTTATGTATATATACTCATAAATTATGAGTATATATAATCTAATTATGAGCCGGAGCCTGGAGCTGCAGTCAATTTTTTGACCTCAGCTCCAATGCTCTGCTCATAATATAATATAATGTTCATAATAACTTTTATATATTCTGAGTTTTATAAGAAATTTAAGTTATAGTTATTTTTAGTTGAGCTTTTAATTAAAATAAAAAAAATGTCTGGTGTTGGTTTAAAAGAGATGCAATTTGAACATGATTTGAAGAAATACCTGCAAAGTTTACTAAAAAGAGTAATAAAGTTGCAGAGTCTGTGATATGCAAATGCAAAGTTTGGTAGTTCAGAAGTGTTTCTAAATGTAAAAAACAAACAAACTAAAAGCAACTGAGGGAGCACAGGCTAGTCAATCTACTGTAGAGGAAGTAAGCTTTTTGTTTTCATAAAAAAAGGGCAGTGGCAATAGTAAGCAGTGTCAAAGCAGTAGCAACTAGCAGTGGTAGAATCATATTTTATCAAAATCACCAAATCTGAAAAAAAAAAGCAATTTATGAGCAGATTGCACACATGATTTATGCTACTAACTTGCCATTTAGAATGGTTGACCATACAGAGATTAGGGATTAGGGCTACAGAGATTAGGGATTAGGCTTGACTTACTTCCCTTATTACTTTATTACTTACTTCCCTACTATACTTCCCTTCCCTTGTTTATTAAATATTGCTTGTTATGAACAAAGAAATTGTATCTTAAAACTAAAAAAAACTGTAGTTATTATTTTCTAATTTTTGAAAACAAAATCTGAGGCTTAGGGGTGCAAGCTCTGGATGTTTTAACATGGAATCGCCATGTGGCAAATATTTTCACACTTTACTTCAGAAAGATGTATGTCTATCTTGCCTGTAAACAAACATTGTACTAACTTATAACAGAGTGTTGCATCTTTTGACATTTTTGGGAGTTTTAAATAAAGGTTCTGTTGATTCAAGATTCAAGTGTTTTAAGTCTTTTTATGCCATTATCTTACCAATAGAGGAATAAAACCATTCTTTGAATTAGTTGAGTCATCTAGTCCAACAATTATATGTGTCAATAGTAATTTAATGTATATGCATACAATGCTGCATGCGTATAGGCCAGAATAATTTCTGTCTATAGGTTCCAGATTCGATAGCAAATCTTTCTTTGAACCTGTTATGAAGTTTGTTGAATCTCCTTCTACAACTTCTAAGGACTCTTGGGAATAGGCAAGTGTTAAGAACCTATGTAGCTTCTTTGGTTGGTTTGCTTCGTGGTATGGCTTCAGCAGAAGTGTATTGAGTGAACTATTCTCCATTAGGCTTACAGGTTACAGTAATATCTTCTTTTTTTATAGCCCTCATGTGAAGTTTATTTGCTAGAGGGTTCTATTCCAACCCTAATATTTAATCCTTTCATGCATCATTAACTACATTTCTGATAAATTCTTTGTTGATTTCTTTCTTTAGATATTCCATTAATGTTTCTCTTACTCTTTCCAATGATGCTTCCCTCGCTCTTTGCATTAATGCTTCCCTCGCTCTTTGCATTAATGCTTCCCTCGCTCTTTGCATTAATGCTTCCCTCGCTCTTTGCATTAATGCTTCCCTCGCTCTTTGCATTAATGCTTCCCTCGCTCTTTGCATTAATGCTTCCCTCGCTCTTTGCAATAATGCTTCCCTCGCTCTTTGCAATAATGCTTCCCTCGCTTTTTGCATTAATGCTTCCCTTACTGTTCTTACTTTCATAGGATTAATTGCTTAATAAACTGCTGACATCAATTACTTTGCTTAATCAAGTTCTAGAAGAAAGAATGTAACCACATCTGACAATTTTTTTTTTGTATACTTTTGATGACCTAATAATTGAATTAAATTAAATTAAACCAAGGGTCCTACTATATAATATATATTTCTTACTCTTTTTAAGAGTAAGAAATATATATTATAATATCATTGTTTTTAATATCATTGTTTTTTGTCTTTCATGAAAAAAAATAATTTTAAGATGACACCTAGACCCTACCTGTTTTGCCATCCTACACTTTTGTCTCACATTAGTTTTATGTCTGAGTTTGGCTTAGAACTTATGCTGATCAACTAAAATAAAGAAGCAGAATGTGTCAACCATAAGTTATCCTCATTTTTTACTAATTTTCAACCAGTTTTAGCAATTTTCAACCATAGAATTTAAATCTTTTTTTATCAATGGAACCAATTTAAATTATTTTGTATCAAGGGAACCAATTATGGTAGTTAGGGTTGACAGAGTTTTAGTTTTTTCACAATTACATTTATCACTTTATTTAAACTCAGGAGAATTATTTTAATCAGCAATATCTTTGCTATACCTTTTTTTCCTCAATACAAACAATTGGGTCTACTAGTACTAGCAATGCCATTGGACTCCTTGGGTCATTTTTAAGACATAGGTCTTATTAGTGCTGCTAAGCACTTGGTCTTCCCATTTTTGAGGTTTTAAATATTTTTGGTAAATGCGGTAGTGGTGTAAATGAGAAGTTACAAGTTCAATCCCCACCACATCCTTGGTGTTTAACTTGTTTCTCTATACAATAGCCTTGTTTGGAATGGCTTGTGTTTTGGAGTTAAAGAACATTTTTGTGTTCGAATGATTAATCAAAAAATCTCTAAATAGTTAAATATTAATTAAAATCATTGAAAAGTTTTATACTAAAATCAATTTTGTGTAAAGAATAAGTTGTTATAGCAAACCGTGCATATTTTATTATAATTAAACCCTGCAAAACGCAAATTTTTATTAAATGTTTATTAAGAAAGAATTAAAGAAATATAACTAATTATACATATTTAAAACTAGTAAATTAGCTTATAGATAGATGAAAAGCTCTGATACTTTTATCATATAAATTGAGCTACAATTGACCCTAATTGATTATATAAATTGATGTTATATTCCATTCTTTTATATCATTTATTGTGTAATTGATTATAGCAATAAATATTATAAAATGATGGAATTTAACATAATGGAATATAAATGTATATATGAAATATAAATGTATAACTGTATTTATGAAATATGTATATTAATATATGACGACGAATATGGTGATGATGAGGATGGTCAATTTGGTCATTTTAGTTAATAGTTATCATCATATCATCATATTCATTATCATCATCAAGGTTCTTCCTTTCAGAGATGTGTGAAATCTCTATTTTTTCTTGATTTCTGATGTCCAGGAGCTCTTAAAGTATAGAGTAGTGTGTGATCTATAATTAGAAAAAAAGTCTTGAGATTTTATGATTTAGAACCTATTGTTTTTTTTAGCCTGGATTCCAGAGTTCTAGAGTTCTTGCTGCCATTATACATAAGGGCTCCGAGTTCAAAATTTGTTTCTTACGTAAAAGTCCTAATTTTTTTTCCCAAAAATAGTTCATAAGTCTTACATTTTTGAAGCTCCTGGATATCAAAACCCAGGAAAAAATAATAATTTTGTGACTTTCAAATCCTGGGTTTTTTTTTGAGACTCCGCATACCTGCTTTCCGCTTTCTTTCATACCTGCTCTCCGCTTTCTTTCATACCCGCTCTCCGCATACCTGCTCTTTTTATACATTAATTTGTATAAAAAGTTAATTTTGCATTAAATATAAAAAGTTAATTTTGCATTAAATGTTAATTTTGTATAAATTTTTTCTAAAATTGAATATTTTATTATAGGAGAGATAAAGCTTTTCAAGATATACCCAAATATCTTCATTATAGAGATAACATAAACATTCCACCAATTTTAATACTAGCTGACAGAGAATGGGTTCTTGAAGAAAGAGTTAATCCACCTGGTTGTTGTAGTGGAAGACATGGCTATGACATTGCCTACGTAGAGATGAGTACTATATTTTATGCACGTGGTCCTGCTTTTAGAAAGGGAGTCACTTTAAATGCATTTGAAAGCGTCAATGTTGTCCCCTTAATAGCTCATTTACTTGGAATTGTACCTCAACCTAATAATGGTTCTCTTTTAGTATTTAATAATGTTCTTGAGATTAATGAAAGTGTAAATCTTGCGCAATTATTTATTCTTACTTGCTTATTTATTGTGACAGTTTACTATTTTAAGAATATTTTTTTGTGATTTAGAAACGGCAATATATTTTAATATTTATAATGTAAAAAGATTTTTTAATGTTTAGAAACGGCAATATATTTTAATATTTATAATGTGAAAAAATTTGTAATAAAATAATTAAAAGTTAAAAAAATTTAAAGTTTAAGAAATAATTTAAAATTTAAAAGATTGTAAAGAATGTGAACAAAAAATAATAAAGTTGTCTGAAAAAGACTATCAAAATAAAAGTTATCGGTTGGGCTCAGTAGCATTTTCCGGCCTTACTTAGCACTAACTTAAGAAATACTTAAAGAATTAATTCCAAATTTTTTTCTATAACGATGTTCTATTTACATATATTTAATTGTATTAGTGTTATACTAATACTATCTGTTAATCAATCCAAAATAAGTAAACAATTAAATAATTGGAAAAGGATTTTGGAAATTTTCTTTCAAAATCCAACCTACTCAACGGCATTAATGCAAGTTTTCATACTTTTTTGTCTTGCTTCTCGGCGATAACATACTTTTTTCCGGTCTGCAACATTGGTTTAGATATTGTTTAAAACTTAACATATCTTTAGCGATAGAGTAAGAAAATATGTAGTAAAGAAACACAATATTTTGTTGAATATATATATATATATATATATATATATATATATATATATATATATATATATATATAACAAAAATGGGAGAATATTTTTTTCGAATTATTGGTGTAGTTTATATCAAAGAACACTATTACATCTTCAACTTCTTTCCACCATACATTAATGCCTTCTACTAAACAGTCAGCTGATTTTTCTACAAGTTTTTGTTATTTATTGCTATTCTTTTCAATCTAAGTAAATGATATTTTTGTATCATTAAATAGACTATGCAATGGTTGGTAGAATTTGTGAAGTATTGAAACACTATCACATAACTTTTTTCCTTCCTTTAATCATCATAGATGATATTTAAAGGAAGGATGTTTTTCCCGGAATTTCCTGGAATTCCGGAAATTCACTTGAAACACCTTTAATTTTTCCAGAATTAAAGGTGTTTGATAAAAAAAACATGATAAAAATCAATTCATATAAAGTGATTTAAACATGTTTGATGATGTAGAACAATAAAAGAAAAAAAAAAATGAAGCTACTAAAAAGCAGAACTTTGAGTCATTACTCAAAAACTCGTACCAGGTAAAATTGATTGACATGTATCAAATTGATCAAGCGCGCCCGACAGAGGGTTAAAATAATCTAAGTTCCGTTTGTCAGTTAAATGCGATCAATTTTAATAAAATAATTTTCCGGAATTATCATAGAAAAAAATTTTCCGGGATTTTCATAAAGTCAAATACTCATCTATGAAATATCTTTTTGCTTGGTTGCGGATTATTGCATTAAAAATAACATTATCTGAATGATGATTAGAAGATGTTTTTGTAGATAGTTTCAAAATTTTGAAACATTGCTTCTTCTTTTTCCACATTAGACGTACGACCTGCAAACAATCTATACTGTAGTGGAGCATGGGATGTGATTGAGTGATAGTATGCACCAAAGAATTTTCGCTTGTTGTTTTTTAAATTTGCTTCTAAATATTCTTTTATAGTTATTGCATGTTTAAATATGGTATTTATTAAACGAAGAATACTGTGTGTTGATCTAAATTCTTCTGGCATATAAAGGATGTTTTGTATTTCGCACAGAGTTAGTAAAAGTTTAAAAACAAAGTGACCAACCTTGTAATGTTCTAGTTACAAAGTTGGTCTAAAGGGTAGGCAATCCTTGTACTCCATGCATTTCATTTGCCAATAGCTCCTTTAATTTTTTGACAGATGTGTTTAATGGAAATTAAATATTTCTTTCATAAAGCTCTTGTTCAATCTGATCTTTTTTTAGACATGAATATAATTTGGTTTTTTCTTGGTTTACTGCCAGCTGTGAGGTGTTACTTTTTTTTTTTTTTTCTTTTTTTTCTTTTTTATTTTTGCCGTTTAATATTACAATAACTAAATATATTTTACAATTTTTTACATTAGTAACGACAGGACTTCTAGAAGATCATGTCCTGATGATCTTCTTGTCATAAAGCCCTTTACAATATATGGTTAACTTTTAATAAAAATACAATGTCTGTAGTGAAATAATAATACACCTCTATGCAAAAATATTTAAAAACCAAGATAAAATGTTAAAAAGTCAAGATAAAATTTTAAACCAAATAATATACAAAATAAAACAACAACAAAAACAAAACAAAAAAAGGCAATTAAAAATAAATCAAGATATTTTCAATTAAAAATATAATTTTTTTAAGTTTCTGTTTGAATGAAGCAAAAGTCATTTGGGTTGAAAAATCAAAATTTGGTAAGACTATTTTGTTCCAGAGATAAGGACCTCGGTAAGAAACAAAAAACTGGTCTTTGCTTTTACGACAAAAAGGGGCAATAAGACTGTTATTAATTCGAAAATTATATTTGTTTTTAGGTTTCATACAATAAAAATTTTGTAATACATTTGGCGACAAATTTTCTCTACATTTAAACATGAAACATAAAATATTAAAGACATTTAGTTGATATACATTTAAAATATTCATTTCTTTAAAAAGTTGTTTCGTGTGAAAAAACCGATTTTTAAAATTTATTACGCGAGTTGCGTGTTTCTGATGAAGGTAAAAAGATTTTAGCTTTGTTCTGTGAGTGCTTCCCCATATAATATTCGCGTAGTTTATATGACAATGTATAAATGAATAATATAATTGTGTTAACTGGTGTTTACTTAATATATTTCTTGCTTTATAGAGAATTCCGATGCATTTAGCAATTTTGTTGGAGGTATTATCAATATGATTTCTCCAAGATAGGTTTTCATCAATATATACTCCAAGAAATTTAGTAACTTTTTCTCTTTTTATTATTATATTATCAATTAGAAGGTCTGGCATGATATGAGGCAGTTTCTGGTATTTTAAAGGTGGATAAAAAAGTGTCCATTTAGTTTTTTCTATATTTAGAGACAATCTATTTTGTTTAAACCAAACAGAAACTTTTTTTAATTCATTTGTCATATTTGTAAAAAGCATATTAATATCTTTATGAGACAAAAACAAATTTGTGTCATCTGCAAAATTTATTGTTGTTAAATTTGATGATTTATGAAGATCATTTATGTATATTAAAAAAATAAGAGGACCAAGTATGGATCCTTGTGGAACACCACATGTTATAATCATTAATAGATGAGATATAGAATCTTTATTGTAAACAAACTGTTTACGGTTAGTAAGATAACTTTCATACCATAATAGGGTTTTATCTTTAATACCATATGATATTAGTTTTTTTAACAGGATTTGATGATTGACGGTATCAAATGCCTTGGACAAATCAATAAACACTCCTAGTGTAAAACAAGAGTCTTTAAATGAGTCGGTTATATTGCGCGTAAGTTGAAGAATGGCATGCTCGGTTGAATTATTTTTTTTGAAACCAAATTGGTTTTCGTATAGAATTTTATTTTCAACAAGATAAGAGTAGATTCGGTTGTACATTATTCTTTCTAAAATTTTTGAAAAAACTGGAAGAACTGAAATAGGGCGATAATTTGTTATATTTGTACGATCCCCTGTCTTGATCCCCTGTCGCTATTTTTAGTTTATCTGGAAAAGACCCTTGTGAAATGGATGCTCTGAAGATTTTATAAAGAATATCTTTTATAACATCGTATGAATCAATCACAATATTTGTGTTAATATCATCATAACCAGTAGCTTTATTTCGTTTTAATGACTTAAAAGCAACCTCAAATTCATTAAAAGCTAACTCAGTAAAATTTAGATTTAGACTTATTGATGTTTCGAACTCGTCAACAGATTTATCTTTAATGAATGAAATACTATCGCTTAGTTTTGTCCCGACAGTGGAGAAAAACTTGTTAAATTCAGATGCAATATCATTTGGGTCATTTATTAATTTGTTTTCAATTTGTATAAAATTTGGGAGTAAATTTTTATATAAGTCAATAAATAGGGGCGACCGGCAACCTTCAGTAATTTAATCTTATATATATATATATATATTTTAATTGTTTTAGGGGGCGCCGTTAGACCGTTCTAGGGGGCGTGGGAGGGCAGCTCGCCCTCCCACGCCCTATACTAAATCCGCCACTGCTTTAGTAATCCAGGGAGATGACATTTCTTTATCGCTTAAAACTATTTCAATTAAAGGAAAGTTGGAATCATACACTTGGTAAAAAGTTTTGAAAAAATTGTCGTAGATTATGTTGATATTATCATTAAAATTAATATAACCCCAATCTATATGTGATAATTGTTCTCTAAAAGAATTTAAATTATTATTGTTGATAAGCCGTTTTTTTATTAATAACTTTCCCTGCTTCTCTTTTTTTAAATTAACACATATAGAAAAAAAAAAATCGGGAAGTGATCGGAAACATCGGTTTTTATAATTCCCTTTTTTAGCGACTTATTAAAAAAATCGGTTGTTAAAATGTTATCAATTAATGATGATGAATGACTTGTGATTCTAGTCGGGCGATTAATTAAAGGTATTGTTCCAGTTTCAAATAAACCATTAAAAAATTTTCTCGAACTTTGATTTTCATAATAATCAAAGGAGTTTATGTTGAAATCCCCGATCAAGTATTTTTTTTTCTTTTCAAGATCAGTTTTCTTTATTATGTTATTTAGTAAAAAATTGCCAAAGTTTTCAATTCTTCCAGTTGGTGGCCTGTAACAACAGCTTATTAGTATACTTTTTGAACGCTTATTTATAAGTTCTATTGTTAAAATCTCTTTGTTTTCATCAGAAACACACGTTTCGCTTCGAACTTTATATAGAAGGTCATTTTTAACAAAAAATAAAACTCCTCCTCCTCGCTTATTTGTACTTCGTTCTAAAATTACTAAATCAAAACCTGGGAGATAAAGATTTGAGTTATTTTTAAAATTTGCATGTAAACACCAGGTTTCAGTTAAACAAATTAAATTAAAAGAACTTTCCGCTTCGCTAATAAAATTTGATAAGTTTTCAAAATTCTTTTTTAAGCTACGTATATTAATGTGGACTGCATTAAGATAATCACTTTTATTTTCGC